TCAGAGTTTTGTAACTTTTATCTTTTGAAGAATCTGCAGTAGTTTTTGGAAGTTTTTCTTCAGAGTTTAAAACACAAGAGAATTTTTTTTTCCTGATGCTTCCTGAAGAACTAGCTTGCCTTTCACAGCTTTCTACAGTGGTGCCAGCTTCAACAGTCTTGGGTAAAAGCAGTCTCCTGCGTAGCGAAGAGCTTTTTCTACTTGATTTAGGACTTTCAAAACCATCTGCACTTCCAGTTGCTTCTCTTTCTTCTGATATTGAGATAGAATTCAGTTCTTTTTCGATAGATGATGACACGGGAATGAAGGCATTTGGATGAATGTGCTCAGAATGCCCTTGTAGCAATGAAATACTTGTTACACTTGGTGCTTCTTTATGTTCTGCATCAAGATCTTTTACTGACTCATTGTATCTGCTGTCCAGAAATGCTGAAGTGCAACATATGTCTTTAAAATTTGAGTATTTAAAATTGCTGCTGGGAGATGTTAATCTATTTCTTTTAAGAACATTGAACTTCATTGAATGACTGTCTGACATCTTCTGCTTGACACTTCGGCTTTGTAAAAGAAGATACCAGTGTTGTTCCTGAAACAAACGACAAAGTAGTCACCAAAACATCCTCAGATTCATGAGAAAGCCCTGTGTGAGTCTATCAAGATAGCAGCCATGACAAAAGTATTTTCATTAGTCTTGGTAGAAACTGCTTATAAATGTACACAAATATAAATTACTATCAAGTAGACGGTTAGAACGAGTGATTAAAATGCATAGTATACTATTAGGCAAATTCAAAGTTACATCCAGTTAGCTAATTGATGTGCCAGTCCTCATCTGTGGAAGAACACTTCAAATAAGCAACACAGCAACTAGAGGCTCATTGGTGCTGAAATTGGCAACAAAACCCTCTAGCATTCCAATAGGGCCAAGATTTTTATTAGAACAGGGTTATTGGTTCATCTAACGCCAACAGTTCAGTCCTCAAGAATGAGCAGAAGCTCTGATGATAGGTGAGTTTAGACAAAAGGCATTTTCTCCTTAAGTAAAATAAGAGGATTAATCATGAAGTCACAAGTCTACAAGTCTCCCTATTATTCAGATCCCTACAGTTCCCTCAAGGGAATAAATTTCAAAGTGAAAAGTGCATTTTTGTCTTCCTCAGCATTTAAATGTTATTTTGTAAAGAAGGTCTCTGCTTTTGCCCAGCTCTGTGGGTAAACAGTGTTCTGAAGCTTTACACTTTAAACAAACTAATGGACTGACTGTTCACACACTCACCAGGTACAGATCATTTAAGAGCTGTTATATATTTTCTTAGAAAAGGTAGAAGTGGCTGATGCACACATTAGCCATGGAAAAGATGCATGGAAACAGGCTTACTTTTTGCAATTCATAGGTGGCAGAGTTTCTCCACCATAACCACAGTAACATTGGGTCATTTCTTTCTGTGCACAAGACACAACAATTGTATAAAAGATGTTATGAGTAATGGCAGAAGGAGGGCTGTTCTCACGGACACCAAAGTAATTCACCTCAACACTCCAAGACTCTCAGAGTTGGAATCAGCACCTTTCACTGGCCTCCATAACTGATATTTTGGAACATAAAGCCTGGAAATAGCAAGTGGACTTTCAAAACAGACAAAATAGGAATCTTTAAATTTGGCTTAAACACCAAATACTAAGACATTGCTATTATCCCAACAGTCCTGACTTAGTTAAGCCCTAAGCCACCAAATACAAGCAGTGGGAACCCAGACTGCATGAGACAGGTGAGGGGGGGACTACTCTTTGATGACCTTGAACCATTAGCATTTTATACCCATGCTGAAGGCACTTTTTTAGACCATTGCCATATAGAAAATGCTTTGTTTTGTTTTCTACTGTAAGGAGACAGCAATATATAGAAGTTCAAAAGGAACAAGATGTTAAACAGCAGACAGTAACACCTTAGCATAAAGACCTACACAATCTTGCTAATATCAGAATGAAAACAAACAGGTTTAAAACAAACAAACAAAAAACCAGACCAACATAATTGAGAAAAATTCTTACAGGAAAGAAGGGTACGTGAAAATAATTTCAAGACAACAACGAGGTCTGAAGTCTGGCCTCCTTCCTTTCCTTCCCTCATTTACCTCTACAAGTACCTTATTTTCACATTTGTTTTCATCAGTTTTCTTTCCTCATTCTCTGTTTGACTCAGTGAAATAAATGACAGCACAAACAGGAAACACAAGGACATAGCTTTAAGCTAGTGCTTACATGAATTAGGGATAACTGCCATTGCAGGACCAACTCCAAACATCATCTAGTATTTCATCTACATCACTTCTCAATGTTTTAGTAGACCTGTCACTGGTGATGTCCACCAAGGGTCGATACCAGACCCAGTATTGTTCAATTTATTCATCAATGACTTGGATAAAGGGCAGATGCCTCCTCAGTAAGTCTGCTGGCAACACAAAGTCTGGAGGAGTGGCTGACACCCCAGAGGGCTGTGCAGCCCTTCAGAGGGAGCTCAACAGGTTGGAGAGATGGGCACAGAAGATCCTTCTGAAGTTCAAGAAAGGCAAGTGCAGGGTCCTGCACCTGGGGAGGAATAACCCCCTTCACCAGTACAGGCTGGGCTGACCTGCTGGAAAGCAGCTCTGCAGAGAAGAACCTGGGGGTCCTGGTGGGCAACAAGCTGTCCATGAGCCAGCACAGTGTCCTTGTGGTCAAGAAGGCCAAGGGTATCCTGGGGTGCATTAGGAAGAGCATTACCAGCACGTCGAAGGAGGTGATCCTGTCCCTCTAATCAGCCTTGGCAAGGCCTCACCTGGAGCACTGTGGCCAGTTCTGAACTTTCCAGTTCAAGAAAGACAAGGAAATACTGGAGAGAGTCAAGAGGAGCGCTATGGACTTGATGAGAGAACTGAAGGACCTCAGTTAAGAGGAAAGGATGAGGGAGCTGGGCCTGTTGGGCCTGGAGAAGGGAAGACTGAGAGGGGACCTTATCAATGTCAGTAAGTATTTGCAGGGAGAGTGTCAGGAGGATGGAGCCAGGCTCTTCCCAGTGGTGCCAAGCAAAATGTCTCTTCTCCCAGGCAACCAGCAGTAGGACAAGAGGGCACAATCTTAAGCTCTGCCAGGGGAGGTTTAGGTTGGATATTAGGAAGAAATTTTTTGCAGAGAGAGTAATCAGACATTGGAACAGGTTGCCCAGGGAGGTGGTGCATTCACCATCCCTGGAGGTTTTTAAGATGAGACTGGATGTGGCATCAGTGCCATGGTCTAGTAACCACGGCGGTGTTGGATCAAGAGTTGGACTTGATGATCTCTCAGGTCTTTTCCAACCCAGTTGATTCTATGATTCCAAGAGGCCACGAGCAGGAACTGGAACACAGGAGGTCCCATGTGAACATGAGGAAAAGCTTCTTTACTGCGAGGATGAGAGAGCACTGGAACAGGCTGCCTAGAGAGGTTGTGGACTCTCCTTCGCTGGGGAGATTCAAAAGCTGCCTGAACACAGTTCTGAGTAATGTGCTCTGGGGGGGCCCTGCTTGAGCAGGGAGGTTGGACTAGATGCTCTCCAGTGGTTCCTTCCACTTACCCATTCCATGATTCTATGATTTTAGGCAATAGGCTGAAAATGCTGTGTCAGGAACTAGAAAATAACTTTTTCCTATATTTTTAAAGGTATGAAGTCCCTGGGCACTGCACTGCTGCATTTCAGTGAATTAGTCATGCTATGAGCAAAGGACCACACCAACACAGCTCTTCCTTTTGTAAAAGGAGGAAGACCTGTAAGAAACCTGCTGTAACAATATGCTGTTGTCTTTGTGTAATTTACAAAAAGAATAGAGGCTTCATTTTTATGCTGAACTTTGTGAACTGCAGTTAGTTAGCAAATGTTGCCAGTAGATATTCCTTCCAAAAATGTTGATGGACAGAGGTTTAAAACTGAATGCTACTTAAAGACAGCTGTTCAAAATCTCAATACTGGAAAAAAAATACATCCCCCCCAGAGAAATCCCATACCAAACCCAAACAAATAATACGAAATCACATACCCACACTTACCTTTAAAAATATTAATATTTTCCTTAAACACAGTCACAGTCAAACTAATCACACATCTAACAAAAGTCCACAGGCTTCCAGACTTTTAGAAAATTAATTTTCAGGTAGCAGGCTGAAGAAACAACAAGAGGAAAAACTCATGCTTGCAGCTTCATTCTCAGGCATTCTATAGGAGAAATTATCTAATAACTCTGAACAACTGAGGGTAGAAAAAAATTAAAATATTACAGTATAAAATAATTTAATCAAACTTGTGTTTCAAGTAACATAAAAATCACAGCAAAACAAGGTTTTTGCAGCTGTAAGGGAGATCAAAGTAGTGGAGTTAAAAGAATGCTGTTAACTCAAGCAGAAGCCAAAAATATGCTGTGCATAGTGCAACGTCCGGCAGGGGGAGCCTGTGAGCTCATTGCATTGATTTTATCGACATTACAAAATATTATAGGATAATATAAATAAAATTGTCACTTCAGTACAGACACCGAATGAACAATGTCCAGCAAACTGCTTCATTTCACCTCTTTTCTACACTTCATTCTATACTTCTTCATTAATTCATACTATTTTATACTTCATTTTACTTCTTTACCTTCCGCTCTTGTGAGACCCCCACCTGGAGTACTGCGTTCAGCCCTGGGGCCCCCAAAATATGGAGGACATGGACACGTTGGAGCGAATCTGGAGTAGGATGTGAAAATGATCAGAGGGATAAAGTACCTTTGCTGTGAAAACTGGCTGAGAGTGTTGGAGTTGTTCAGCCCAGAGAAGTGAAGGCTCCAGGTAAACCTTGTTGTGGCCTTCCGGTACCTAATGGGGGCCTGCAAGAAAGCTGGAGGGGCACTTTTTAGAAGGGCATTTAGTGATAAGACAAGGGGTAATGGCTTTAAACTGAAAGAAGGCGGGTTTAGGTTAGACCTTAGGAAGAAATTCTCCTTATGAGGGCAATGGGACACTGGCACAGGTTGCCCAGAGAAGTTGTGGATGCTCCATCCCTGGCAGCATTCAAGGCCAGCCTGGATGGGGGTCTGAGCAACCGGTCTAGTGGAAGGTGTCCCTGCCCATGGAAGGGGTTTGGAGCTAGGTGATCTTTAACATCCCTTCCAACCTGAATCATTCTATGATTTACTGTAAATCCCAGTATACAGCTCAAGCTAGTATATGCATTATTTTTTTTTTCCAAAATGTATTACTTGTACAAATTAAGATTTAATTTAACACAAGATCTCATTTTACAAATACAGTACAAAATGGGAAGCCTTTCAGAGGTGCCAAACAGCTCTCATAATAATAACAAGATAATATTTATATTCATAAGAGATGCCTAATAAAACTTCTTATAACCTGACTGACTTCTATAAGCAATTCTTTTTTATCGGGAGAAAAGTTTTGTCTACTAGATTTGATACATAACATCAAGCCCTTTCATTTGGGGATCTTGAAGTAGTTCCTGAAGATATTGTTAACCTTGTCTTAGACACCATCAAACAGATGTGCAGGGAAGAAAAGGCTAGCTGCACAAAAAGTCAGTTACAGAGCAAGTAACAAAAATCCGTATCTGCTAAGTGCAGGTGCTCTATGCATTTCCCATATCTATTATCAATTTTGTAGTTCTCAAATTGATCTACAAATCAACTGCAAAATTTCTGGAAGTTTATGGGACAAAATAAACTAAGCTGACCCAAACTAAATGCACTGCTGAAGGACGGTATTCACATATTTAGACAAAAAAAAATCATTTTTAACAAGGTTAGTCTTACAAAGCACCCCAAAGAGGTAAAAATGTTGGTAAGTAGAAGGCAATGTCAACAGTGCCTCTTAGACATAAGTTCTAAGATGTTCATGATACTAATTTACATTCCCCAGTAACACACACTGAACAATTATACCTTGAACAAGATGATTTCTGACTCTGTTTATCACTGTTCACTATTGCTAACAAAACAGATAAAGACAACATCCTGGTCATACAAAAATATTTTCTCTGTTATTTAAACATACCATATCTGTGGTAAAATTGACTATCTGAAGACTCTGTTCTTGACCTCCCTGAGACAACAGAGAAGTCATTGATACCTTAGAAAATATTCATACAGAAGATGACATAGCCAAGTCCTATCCAAATTATGTGGGACACTTACCCTAATTTGTGAAGCAACTCAAGATCTTCCACAGTAAATGTGCTGTATTAGAATTGCTTGCCCCTACTGATAACCTGGAGTGAGAAAGGATGTGAAGAGAAAAGAGAGAGGTGTAAGACAAACATTACCCAGCTGAGGCACAGTTTTCAGTCCATCTATGCATGTGCACAACGCCTAATTACCCAGGGACCAGCACCCGAGGGTCTCCCATCCACCTGGGATGCCGGACGCGAGCAAAGCAACCGCTTCACCCCCTCATCTGGGAAATCGCTGGGCACAGGAGCAGAGCCTGGAGGCCGCCCTTCCACAGGGTGCGGTTGAGGCAGCAGCGGGGCCCCCCGAGCGGGGCTGAGGGCAGGCTGGAGGAGCGAGGCCGGTGCCGCCCTAGCAGCTCTCGCCGCCACCTGGCCCGTTGCCCCCGGTGAGGAGCCGCTTCCGCCTCCCCACCCACACCCGGCCCTCGGCGTGCGGCCGCGTCGCTTTCCCTCGCTCGGGTTTGAACTACCCGCCCTCACCAACCGCTGCCTCCCCGCCCCCTCCGTGCTGCGGGCCCGGGGCAGGGCGGAGCCTGAGGAGACCGGGACGCCCTGCCTGCTCCTCCGAGGCGAGAGACGGTATCCAGCGGGCTCGCCTCGCTCCTCACGCTTTATACTTTTGCCCCGCGGGCCCCGCCGCACCCAGCCCACTGTTAAAGCGCCCCTGCCGTGCTTCTCCTCAGGAGGCCGGTGTGGGTGAGGGTTTCCCGCTCCCCGCTTCGCTCCCTGCGAGGAGGGGGCGCCAGCGCTGAGGGGCGGCTCAGGGACGCGCGTGAATCGCGGCCGGGCAGTGGCTTTCACAGATAATGACCTTTATCTGCACCACAGCTTTTAAGCTTGACTTGTAAGGGTGCTGATTAATTCGAGTTAATTAGTACGTTCGTGCCCGACGGTCCAGGACCGAAACAATCATTGAGCGTTTCTCAGGTGCATCGCCTTCAAAGCAGTCGGGTGGGAGATGCCCCGTGACGGCGCCTGGGTTTTGCTGTGGGTTTAGTTTTTCTGTACACTAACCCTCCCACCCCCCAACATACTAAACAAACACAAACCCACTAAACCCACGAATACGTGGATGCCTATTTTTCCTGGGCTCGGTAAGGATAACGTGGAGCTACGCAGTCTCACCTACCTGCTGGCTTCACACTGGCGGGATGGGGAATGTCAGACCCGAACGAGAGACCTACATTTAAAGAAGCGCAAACGCGAGGCTTTCAAAAGAAACGCCGAAATTAAGTCATGTAATCCCTGTAGATGAGATCGGGCAAGTTCGCGACATTCCCTTTTGGCAAATCCGCTCCTCCAGCCTCTCGCAGCCTCCGGACGGTGATATAAGACAGCCTGAGAAGGGCTCGAGTAAACGCGGGTTCAAAAGTTCCCGACCCAGAGCCGGCGAAACCCGACATTTTTATGTAAAGAATATCGGTTTATGTGACCAGGTAACAATTGTGGCTAAAAAGAGAAAGGCTCTTGGGGTATTTCCCCCTTCCTTTTTTAAAAGGAGAAAACATTAGAAACTTTCAGGAATGTAATAAAACTTTTTTTAAAGTGCTTTCTGTAGTATCATCTATTTCACGGGAACTGGATAAAATTGTTTCTCAAATGCTTGTATTTATTTATAAAATAAACTATCTTCTGAGTCAAACTGGCAGCTTGCTAGTGGGACACAAGAGCTGAAAGCTGCGTCTTCATTCAGTGAAGCCTCAACTCACTTATGCGAGTTGGATCAAAAATATTCAAGAAACGTAACAAGTTGTAATTGCGGCATTTGATTGAATACACAAAAGCGTCACACCAGAAAAGCGCGATTTAACAAAAAAAGCATCACAGACCTCCCCCAAGCAAACAAACAAACAACAAAACCCAACTAAACAACACCCTTCCCCCCACCAAAAAAAACCCCAACCAACCAAACAAAAAGACACAAACAATCAAAACCTGAGAACATTACTTCTAAGCAAGCAAAATGAAGTAAGATATTCTGCAACACTCGCGCTGCACTCGGCGACGCCTGCATTTTCTTCCCATCTCAAAAGTACCTGTACCCCTTGTACCGCCCCACCTCGCCCCACAAGCCTTTCCTCTAGCTTTCCTGCCAATCTCCCAAGAGCTTTACGGGACAGTGGAGGTCTCCCACATAGTCGCAACGCTTTCAGCTACTCTAAATCCAAGAGGCATCTTTAGGGCTAGAGTTTATCAGCCCGAGGGAAGGGGGCTTTGCTGTTAAAGCGCTCCGCTCGAAGGGGGCGGCTTTTGTCGGAAACGGCTGAAGTAACCGAAGCTTTAACATCTGGTTAAACATTCTATTTTTCCAAGAGAACAGCTGAAGGATGCAAATAATCGAGCAATTACATGACCACTTTCTTAATATTGGCGACATTACTTTCACAGGATTAACTGAATTTTTCATGGAGGTATTTTTACTAAGTCCTTTTAAAATTATCGGTTTGACAAACGCATTTTCAAAATATAAATGAGCCTAGAGAAATAATACCAATTGTTTTTTCTTTGCTTTTTTAGGAGATGATAATTACTTAGCATGCGTTTACCAGGAAAAGTAGGGCTCAGGCTTTTTTTTCTCCTCTGCTTCAACCTTTGGTACCCACCCACACCCACAGGTCCCTGGTGGAGGAGAGGACGCAGGGAAGTCAGAATCCAGATGGATAGCTCTGCCTTTCACACACCGGTTTTTTTTGCATGTGCTTTATTCTGGTACCCTAAAAGTTCTGTTTAGCTTTATTCGTACACAGCAGTATGAAGAAGCAAGTCTAAAGTCATTACTGTGTTTTCATTACGTTTAACTTAAACACAAAATTAGGAAAACCACAACTATTTATTATTCCTCAAGTTTATTTTAGATAAGATATAGGTCATGTATGAAGGTGATTTGCTGCTAGGAGAACACCAAGTAATGACGACTGTTAAAACCTCGTCCATATTAAGGCATTTGGGTGCTGAGGAAAAAAAATAGTATTCAGTATTCAGAAATAGAAAGAACTTTCCTTAAACTGCAGAATCTTTTTATCGATGAAGTAATTTAAATTGTCATATTCACAAAACACAGTATTCGTTAAACATTTTTTTCCGTGAATAAAGCAAAGATACATAATTCTTCAAAATGCCAATCGAGGATTCAAATTTCCTACCGCTAGCGAGGCGAGGCCAATGACAGAGAGCAACTGGTGTCGTTTCAAACCTTGTCTGCACTATTTCATTTCAGTACATGGGGAATCACCTACATCGGAACTTCTTTCGTAATACGCTGAAAATACGGAGCATATATGTTTGGAGTAGGTAAGTTTGGCTTCCATGTGGGTATAGCATCAAAATATCAAGATGCGGGTTTCACCCACGAATCTTAGAGAAAACACCTCTGAAAACAGACCGGTCCTCGAGGTGAAACACCTCGGCGGTTTAAAACCCCGCAGCCATATGACCAGATCTGGCACAGGGCATTCTGGGTCTCGAGTAGGTTTGGTACAGCCAAATAAAAAAATAAAAGCACCGAGTACCTTGGGGCTGATTTTACCCAACCACGCAGCTGCCTGCTTTCTTCATGGGAAACTGACGCTGCTATTTATATGAAAGCTTGTGTCTTAAAAATTGCTACCAAATATTTTCTGCCGCCTTCCTCCCCCCAGCTGGTTAACACCCATAACTGAACACTTATTACTTTCCCAGGCTAATTAACTGTTCCACAGGGAGGTGCCGGAGCTGGCGCTGGGCGATGCCGGGCGCCTCTGCCGCGCGTCATCAGCGTGCGCCGGCAAGGCGCGGGGCTGGTGGATGAGTGAGCGGGAGGGGCGACGGGAGAGGGGTGACGTCCCCCCATGGGCCGGCTCGGGCTTCTCCACATCGCCGTCCGACCCTGGGTCCTAGCGCTGGCGGTGGACGGGGACGTTGGCGGGCAGGAAAGGCCAGGACACAGCCTCGTGGTTTCGGTCCTTCGTACGAGGCCCGGGGGGGGGACGGTGCGGGAGGTCTCGGTGCGGAATTGTGGCGGGATGGAAAGCCTGGGCTGGAGGGTAGGCTGCCCGGTGGGTTGTGAGGAGGGCTGTCCGTCCTTCTTCGTCGGCTCTGCGGGACGTGAAGGAACGGGTTGGTCTCTTACGGGTGCGTAAAAGACGCACTGAGAGAGGACCTTGCCACCTAAAGAGGGGGTGGCAAGAAAATGGAGCCGGGATCCTCTTGGTGGTGCCAACCACTAGGACGAGAGGCAGCGGGCGAAAACTGAGGCACAGAGAGTTCCACCTGAATATGAGCGAGAACTCTACTGTGCGAGGGACCATGCACTGGAACAGGTTGCCCAGAGAGGCTGTAGAGTTTCCCTCGCTGGAGATATTCAAGGACCATCTGGATGCAGTCCTGTGTCACGTGCTCTAGGACGACCGCGCTTGAGCGGGGAGGTTGGAGCAGGTGACCCACTGTGGTCCCTTCCAGCCTTCCCCATGCCGTGATTCTGTGTGGTGCTCTCAGCACGTGGAGGATCCCGTGTCTCTGCGGGGTTCCAGTGTGTGTCCCAGTGTGTCGGTGCATTGCTGTGCCTGGTGGCAACGGCAGCCCGGTGGCATTTAGGGTTGCAGGGTACGTGAAGGACAGCTAAACCAGGCCACCTCCCTGCAAGACACACAACTTGGGTCACTGCTGACCTTAGCAGCAATGTTATTTTGCTGCACGAGCAGCACAAACTCAAGTTATTTAGCTACAACTGAGATCTTAATTCAGCTCTGTGTTTTAGAAGAGCTGCTGTTTCCTAGTGCTAATGGGTGACTTCTTATATCTTACTATAATGTACTGGCTCAAAAAGACTGTAACACGTGTGGATTAAGATGCCACTATGATTATGGTACAGCATATTTGAAAGCTGTAGAGTGTAATGAATTCTTTCCAGTTCTCTTAAGTGGACCAACACAGTGGGAATTTTAACAAGGTGGTCTGTCAAGTGCTGATCAGACTATTACAGAAGGAACTGTCAAGCTTATCCTTCTGTTTTCAATGCCATAATTTTCCCACTTCAGTTTATACTGAAACAAACTGTGAAGATCAGGTTAATAATCCTTGCAGTAATATTAAACAAAAGCATCCAAGAACCATTCTCATGGAAGGAAGCTTCAAAAACGAATTTTATGTTTCCAGCAAGGAAATTCTTTACATTCGCAGGAGGAAGGAAAGAGAATACTATTTGTTGGGCGTTAGTGTTTAAAATCTTGCTTAATAGAAAAATGTGCTGTCTCTGTCCTTGCCGGTTTTCTATAGCAGGTTGGTAAAGCTCTGAGAAACCTGATGTTACTTTGCTTTTCAGAAGTTGAACTAGATGACTTTATGAAGTCTGTTTCAACCTGAATTAGCCCATGTCCTCTGTATCGAATACAAACTGTATTTGTTTGTATTTACTTTTAAGGAAGAGTTTTCATCTTCTGTTAGCTTTAAATTGAGATATTGAAATGATTGTGTATATCTTGGGGAAAAAAAATCCCAAACACCAAAACCCAAACTGATGTGCATATTGTGTGTTTTTTGTTTAGAACATGGATTCACAGAAGGATGTTCAGCCTCCAAAGCAGCAGCCAATGATTTACATTTGTGGAGGTAAAGAAAAGACATTAGTGATTTATTTTTTTTTATTACATGTTACTGGAGATTTAGTGTTTTAATAACGAAGCCATTATAGTGAAGAGTACATGAATGCAAATAATTGCAGTGTGCATCACAATGATCTTTAAAGCTTTACACGTTGATGGTAATGTGTATGGGTTACCACATGGATATGGACGTGGAAGTAATTTCCTTAGGTCTTGTGTTGCTGTGTGGAGCTCCTCCATCTCCAGAGTATGCTTTCTCTAAGTGTCCGCTTGTGGTGCAAATAGTGGACCTTCCATTCAGTGCATCTCAGTCTTTTACTGAAAATGCTATATGGGCACTCAGCTTTTACTGAAATACAGTAGTCAAATTCTCTCTTACCGATAGATAGGTCAACAACTTACAAATTGGTGATTTTGCGTCAGCACTTCAGGAATCTCTGAAATATTTTGTCTTTCAAGAAAATAAACTGTGGGCTTTTGGAGAGCTGAGCTGAAATTTTTGTTAGTAGGCAGTCTAGTATCAAGAGTGGAATGTGTTCTGTGCAGTAATATTTTGGTCATTTTTAGCAAGATTTTCTTTGACCTTAATATAAGTTAAACTTGCTTTTTCTTTTTTTTCTCAGTATCTTGGTATCATTCAGCTCTTGATACAGATTCATTACAATTACTATGTTTACCACAAATAGAAATTTGATTATTTTGACTTTTGAAAATTATCTGTGCATTAACAATGCTGGTTTTGTTTGCCCACTGTCTTTGTCTTCCTCTATAACATTAGAATGTCATACAGAAAATGAAATAAAGGCAAGAGATCCTATCAGATGCAGAGAATGTGGCTACAGAATAATGTACAAGAAAAGGACAAAAAGACGTATCCTTTTACAAGTGCACTTGAAAGCATTTGGGAAGCTGTGGGTGGAGATAAGGTATGCAAGGGAAACAGAAAGGAAGATTTGAGTAATTATGTAACAATCCTTCAAGGCAAAAAATCAATGCAGGAGAGCAAACTACTATGAGGCAATCTCTGCAGAGTGATTTGGCACCTTCCTTTCTTTCTTAGCACTTTCCCTCTTTTTTTCCATTTTCTATGCAAGATGTAATAAGTTATGATAGTCTGCTGGGTGATGTACTGTGAATTGTTGATATTATTCAGCCTTTTATTAAAGATAGCTTTTGAAATACTTTTATGTAGTTAGTTGTGACCTTACATTTAGACAGTCTCTCTCTTTTATTCCTCTCCCCATCTTTTTTTTTCAACCACGACACTTTTTTTTGTCCTTAACTGAGCTATTCCAGTGGTGGTTTTTGATGCCCGATGATATCTGCTGAAGATACAGTGACTTCATGATGCAGTTTAATCTCTCTGATAACTTTTCTCTGTAAAACTATTTGTGTACAAATGCACACTCTTATTTGTGTTTTAAGAGATTATTAAAGTTCACTGTAATACTAAATTTTGTCTATACCATCTTCCAGCAATAGATTTCTAAAGCTGTTGTTTAAATTGTCAGAGTATGCAGTATTTTTTAAGTTCAGCCGTTTTGTATTCTTTTTGACTTAGCTGTGTTTTCATTACTGTCATCTAAACTTTATTTGCATTTTTACTTTGTTAAATGTTCTTTGGACTTCTGTGAATTGCATAAAATAACTGTAGTTTGAATAAATTCCACTGAAAATAAATAGAGGGCTATCCAAGGCTAGGTCTGAAATACAGATCTGGATTTCTTGAGAAAACCTCAAGGGACTTGAGAGTACCCAATTGTGGATATGTTAAAAGTATGGATGTCTTGTGTGGAAGTGTCAAAAAAATCATCTCTTGGGAAAGAAGAGGGAGGCAAGGTAAACATTAAGAAGCAATGTGGAAACAGAAATTACGGAAGTGCTGTTTGACTTATACTCAAGGAAAGAATTAGTACTCAAGGAAAAAAAAAATGTGTTACAAAGAAAAATTGAGTAGCATCCCAAAACTAAAATAGCATCTTGTTTTGCTTTTCATATGACTTCTCAGGAGTCTGTAAAAGAAGGATCATAGTGGTGATTTTGTTTTGAGAAGCCAAAACTTTTTGCATCTGGCTGTTTGGAATGTGTGTTATGTAATAGTACTAAATTCTGCTACAAAATACTGCTGAACTGTGTGTGCTTGATCTCAATTTGGATGGTGCTAATGATGCTGTTATGTTGAGATACTGTGTTTGACTGATCACTGTAATAAGGTATCTTTGTTAAGGTGTGCATGACTGCACTGGCTTATAAATGAGTTGCAGTGGCTTGTTATAGGGGATAAAGAAAAGCAGTTGGAGATGATGTTTTGGAGCTGTTTGGTTAAGATTTTCTTAGTTAACTGATCTTTGCTGTTAAGAGTAGGTTTTTCGGGGAAACCAGATACACTCGGGTATACATGATAACCTTTTTGCTACACCAGCCTGGCCTGCACACTGTGCACCTTATGCCTGCGTAACAGACAGAAGGGTCGCTACTGCCGTGGCTGCTCAGAAGGGTGAGGAGGAGAGGGCAGGAGCAATGCTGTCGAAGGTTTGGCAGGATTCAGGGGCGGGTTTGGCCGTACTGCGGGCACGGTGGGTACTTCTTTCTGCCAGACGTGGAGAAGAGCATCCTCTGCCATCGGGGACCTGCTGTAGGGAGCAGCGCCGGGAACTGCAGGGCTGACGGGCAGCACTGGTGTGGGCACGGGGGGACGCCGGCATTGGAAGGGGACTGCCTGAGTAAAAATACTACACTGGAAACAGTAAAGTGACGTTTATTGAACCTTCACGCCCCGGTGCTGTATTTCTGCCCCCCCGCAGCAGCTGGGGGGCGCCGCCGTTCCCCTCAGCCCTGGCCGCAGCCGCGCCTGCGCGGCGGGGAGCGCGGGTCGGGCGGCCCCGGCTGAAGCGAGGGACGGGCGGCGTCCGTGTCCCGGCGCGGCACCGGGCAGGTGGGTGCTGGAGTCGGGCAGGTGACGCCGATGTCGCCGCTGGAGTTCGGCGGGGCTCTGTGGGAGCCTCTCCGGGGTGTCCCTGGGGAGGACAGCGCCGTGTCCGCGCCGCCATGTTGTACATAGCAGCAGTTGCTAAGGTCGGGCTGGCGGCGCTGCCCGGGCCCCGGCGGTGGGTGCCGCTCCCAAGGTGAAGTCCTGACTCCGCGGGAAGGGGGATGTGTGGAAGGTGTGTTGGAGGGGGGCGCGCCGGGCTGTGGCTGTGCCCCCGAGCAGCCGCGGTGTCCGTGTCAGCGCCGTGCCCTGGGCAGCTCCCTCGCCTCCGTGGGAATACTGAAACGGGAGAAAACGCTGATTTGTGATGAGCTCTTTACTCCTGTTTAATTATTTACTGCATTCGTACGGCTTTCCATGCATGTTGTTCCTTTTTCAGTACTGAAACTGTAAAGTCTTGGGGCAGAATCTCTATTATGGTCACCTAATTACGACCAGTTATTATTTAAGTGATACTGTATTGTAAACATTTTTTGTGCAACTATAAATTAAGAGGTAGTTATGCTAGACATTGGAACATGGTTATTTTAACTGGTTTACATTTGCACATAGTTGTCATCACACGTTAGCTACCTTCCCTTATTGTACTTGTTAAAAATAACTTATCACTTTATGCACTATGTAAATGGGGAAAGAGTGAAGAATTTCAGCTCCATGGAGCTTGGGATCAAAACAGGAAAAGATGCAGATGAACAGATCAAAGGAATGGGGAGACAGAAGTGTCCCATTTGAACCCCTCACTTCAGTTACCTACTTACTGGAAAAGGCTTATATTACTACTGTAATATAATCAGAGAGCCAGAAAATGCAGTTAGTGAGCAAAGAAAATTGGATTTATTTTTACAACAGAGAAGGCAAAGGTTATTATTTCTTTAGATACACTGTTGGTTAATGTCTTCCTTCTGAAAAAAGCAGTGTCCTGCACCATCTTATCCTTCATGCTTATCATACTTGCTTAAATAGCTAATATTATAATGTATTTAAAGACAAATTGAGAACATGGTAGGCAAAAATTGGCAATTTTTCTTTAAGCAGTCTTTCTGAATTGATCTGCTTTGCAGAAGCAATAGAGTTACACATACTCTTCATACAAAGCATCTCTCATACACAACCATAGTTCTGTCAGTGAACTCTGTCGAGGACAGCTCGTATGATCAGCTCTTCAAATCTGAAATTTTTCCTTTTGTGGTAATAGATCTACTTGCATAAGAGAGTGGAGCATGAGCAGGTTTATTCCTTAAATTGACATTGCTTCAAAATGTAACTAAGTGCCTACAGGATCACTAATTTTTTTTCCTTTTAATATTTAGTTATGGGTGATGAGTCAGTACCATTTTTGCTGGACCAAGGAACCACTAAAACATATCAAATACCTATTAGTCATCTGGACTACAAATTCATTGAAAAATGCACAGATGTTAAGCATCTGGAAAAGATTCTCAGAGTATTAAGGTAAACGTATTTTCTTATCTTCATAATAATTATATTCCTGTTCTGTAAAATTTGAGGGAACCCTTATCTAAATACCCTTATCTGCCTGAACCTTTTTGTGACTTTTTAATTTAAAAATTAAAATACAAAGTTAAAATAATCATGTTAAAAGTGTCCCAATGATAACACTAGAAATCCAAGTCCTGATTTAACCATTGAAAAAGTTTGAGTAACTGAATGTCAGGTTTTTCTCAAACTGCTGCTTCTGTATTTTGGTTCTATTATGATCCATCTTGCCTGACTCTGGTAATTTCAGATGCCACATCTGTTTAACTTTTGCTGAAAATGACACACAAATTTTTTTATGAGCACTGTGATGATAATTTGAAGTGTATATGTATGGACATTTGAAAATGGTTGAGGGTTGATTGGAATTTTCTGATGAAAATGTTATTAGATGACAGTAAAATTGAGTTGTAACAGGGAAATAGTCCTCTGCAGTCACTGTAGTGACTACAGATGGAGAGAAATATGGAGGACACAGTGCAGTTTAGTTCTTTTTTGCTAACTTTTGTATCTTTGCATTTGAAAGGTCTGGTGAAGAGGGATGTTACCCTGAACTTACGTTGGTTTGTGAAAAGCGTATTGAGCATTTAGATCCAAAGAGCAGAGCTCTGAGAACAGATAAGCCTGCAGCCACAGCTTCTGATTTCACAGCTGAGGAGTGGGAAACAATTAATGATGAGCTGATGGTACAGTATCTAATTTATAATGGTCCATAATATTATCACTCTGATGTATCAGTCTGCCTCTTCTTGTGCCTAAATAGAATGTAATTATTTGATTGAATGAGGAAATGATCAAAGGATTATGTTTTGGTTTTTTAATTGTTTTCTTGAGTTAATGTCACTGAACCTTTAATGCCTATTTTAACTTTACAGTTTTTTTTTTTTTGGTAGGTTACTTTGTATTAAAAAAACCACTATTGCTTTTTTTCTTAATTGTTTTTCCCTGTTAATAGCAGTGTTTTGTAAGTATAGTTGTTAGGGTGACGGTAGACTGTGAAGTATATCTTCTCTACTACCTTAAGGTACAGATGTATTATTTATTTATTTTCAGAGCTGGCTGACAGAAATGAATGAAGATGATAAGAAATCACAGTTCCTGAGAACAGACACACCAAATGAAAATCAAGATAACTTGCCTCCCATTCGTTGTTCCAGCAGCTGTCTTCCTGCTAATCAGGTATCTCCAGTTTTCTAATGTGTGTTAATTATATGTTTTTCTAAAATTAGGAAATTTTGTATGTACAAACTTCCAATCTTACTAGATTTATTTTGTTAACCAGGAAATAAAAGCCTTTAAGCTCCCTTGTGAGAGACCAATGCTTAAACAAAAGTACTTTCTTTGTACTAGCATGTGTCTTGTAATAATGTTTTAATTCTGATCAGGAATTCACTGCTGGAGCAGATCTACTTAAACACCCTTTTTTGATCTTTGATTCATGTTTCAAAATGGTTTTTAAGCATATGAATCAGGTTCTTTTTGGATGAAATTATGCCAGGAGATGTTCTCCAGCTGCCAGTACACTTTTGTTCCATGGGACCGGACAGGAGCTAGTCCAAAATAAATACCTTGAGTTGCCATTCCCACTGCAGTCATATAGCATACTTCCTAATTTAGCCATTAAGCACACTTAACAAATCTTCAGAATTAAGAACGAATACTTACATTTTTCCTGGGTATTAGTTTCCTTATGGTTTTTTTTTTTTCAGTTTATTTATCTGCCTAAAATCAGTTTTGTCTGTGACTGGCTTTTCTTGTTAATACTAAATGTAGTGCTACTGGAGGGACTGGCAGACAAATAGGTATGGGACGGGATTTTTCTGAATTGTCAGGTGTTTTCATAGATCACTTCAGTCTGATTCTCAAAATTTTCTTTGAAATTCTGGGACACTGCTGTAACAAATTCCTTGAAGTATTGTTCTTTTTGGATGTTGGGGAGTCAGAAATGTTATGGAAAGATCCTTACAGGTCATGTGATATTTCTTATTAGTTGTTTTGGTGGGGTTTTTTTTAATAATTATGTATTAGTAAATGCCTGATTTTTGTTCCTATGTTGTCAGAAACTACTTCTTGTTGTCAGCTAGTACTTAGACATTGGACGAAGACATTTGGGATGGCAAGACACTTAGTATTGAGACTAAGGCATGCTTTTATTTTGTTTATTTTGTGGGGTTTTATGTCATTAATCTGTATTCTTTCACATTTTGCAATATATGTTCCTCTTGACTATCCCATTATGCTGAGATGGAGACTGCCACTGTAGCTTTACTATTGATTCGTGTCCTGTATGAGTGCTTGTTTCAACAGAAAATGGTAAATAAAATACCATGCGAACTCAGTGAATCCAGATTAGAATGTAAGCATAAAATAATGGAAAGTGTCTTGAAATCTAGGATACACAGTTTTACTAAAGAGGATGTGTTCTCCTTTCAAAGATAAAAATATTTATTCATGTTTTTTCTCCTACTTTAAACCATGCAACAGTCTTCAGGTCAAGCTTTGTTCTTTTGTTCTTCACCTTTTGTTCTCCATACAAGGTTTAGGTGTTAGCAGTATTACTCAGGAAACCTAGATATAGCATTACACTTTATCTGTGGCATGTGATTTCCATTCCTTTTGTCCAAGCAAAGGGCCTCTGAAATAACTGTAACCTGTCCTGGAAGAGAGAAGGGAGGCCTGAAACTGAGTTTTAGAATTCAGTCTTTTTATGCAGCAGTACAGTTACATCACTACTAGATTACTACTGAATAAAAAGAAACTGTTTCTACAGCATACACTAAATTTATATTTGTGATATGAAATCTCAAAAAAATTTGAATGTACATAATCAGCTTTTTTTCTTTTCTTTCTCTCTGATAAAGCTATTTGTAATCTTACAATTTTTAAACATGTTTTGCTAATCAGTTAGGACTAATTAATTTTCAGACTGGCATCATATAATTTCTTAAGTGGTATCAAGTTTAAAGTTGGCATGATAAATTTCTCCTCTCTGCTAGAAAGAAATGAACAAACCTTGCTGTAATTTTATGTTATCGCTTGACTGGAGACTATTCCTCTGATCCGATGCATAAAAAGTTCAGCATCTTCAATTAAGCCAATTTTGGAAATCCTTATTGACCCTAAAACACTGGATTGCACCAATGGATACCAGTTGTATAAATGGAAGCATTTTGTTTTATCTATAACCAGATTTTCTTGCTAATACAAAATGTAGGTAGAGTTTCAGTTCACTGCTGATAGCTTGTAATTCTATACGGTGTTTTCTTTTCATAAGTGTGAAGTCATGGGCAAGATTTTCCAAAAATGAATAGAAAAAGAGTTAAGTTTATGCAATATTTTCCTCTTTAACACAATGTTAAAGAGGAAGTTTCTGTCTTACATCCCTGTTTTTCTGTCACACTGCCTTACTTCTTCCAGGAGAGAACTAGATCATGGGTTTACAGATATTCGTGTTCAAGTAGGGATTTCAGCATAGGTTCTTTTGCCAAATGTGGTTTCCTAATACTATTCCAGAAAGATTTCTGTCCTCAGATACCTCCTCATGCTACTGTCCAGGGGATGCAACATGCATTCCAAGGTCTGTGTTATAAAAATTCACTGTGATAGGATCTATATAGCCCTCATGTTATTTTGGATATTCTGAACTAAAAAAGAATACTTGTTGGCTGACACGTTATAGTAGTGTCTTAGACCAGCATGCAGGGCCCAGAGGAGAACCAAGGACAAATTCTGTATCACCTGAACAACCCGTCTCTGTGTTGCTCTTTGGCCCATTGAAAGTGTCTAATGGGCTGCAGAACCTATGAGATCCATGCCTTGTGAGTTCTGGCAAGAAAAACGACAGGCACAAAGATTTTTACTTGTTTTTAGTCCCACAGCATGATGGAGAAATTCCTGACTGCTGGAACCACAACTTCATTACAATTGTCTCAAGAATATGAAGCCTAGAATTTTTAAAATTGTGAATTTTTGAGTCAATTCTTTTGCATTATTCCTTTAAAGTACATTCCTTTAAAGTTCTCTCCCTAAGTTGAAGTTGCATTACTGTAAGTACCTTATGCATTTTCTTCTGACAGTTTCAATATTTTTGTGCCCATTTAAATTAATGACTTCTGGTTTGAAAAAAAGATTTGGTATTTATTAAATTAGTACATTTGTAATATACACCAGGATGCATACATAATGATAACTCATGTTTCAGGAAGGCATATTTAGGAGTTCCCTCCTCCAAACATGCTCTGATCACTAAATGTATTTGTCATTTTGTCAGGCTTCTTGAAAGAAGAACATTAAGAGTAATTCTGAAGTTATATACTATAAAAGTTTGTGTAACCTAACATTATAGATAGTCAGAAGTGTTTACAGGAAGGGTGAAATTTGCATTATGTAAATTGAGTTGTTTACATGCAACTACAGAAGTATGTCCTTGTTACAGTGTCACCACTGGTAAAGCAAGTTTAAGAGGCTGCTGCTTGTTTCTTTGGTCCAGCTGAACTCGTACAGATATTTGGGGATTGTACTGTGATCTCTATTGTTTGTTTGAATCCAGAAAATTGTAAATCTGCAACTCTACAAAGAATTACAGTGGTCTAACTTAGTGAATTATGGATCATAAGGTAATAGAAGGGCAAAATGGCCAGGACAGAGTAGATGGGAGTATTTTGAACTGGCTCTTCCACTGCGAAATACCTGTTGGGAACCACACCTTGCTGTTAAGTATTTTGAAGTCAACAAGCAGGGAGGGATATATCAGAAATAAAGTCTCATGAAAGAAGCAGAATTGATGCCAAAGGTGACAGTTATGGAAATAGGTTCCATTAGTGTAGGAGGTGGGTTGCAATACAAGTCAGTCAGATCTGTTATTGCGATGATTGTTGCAGGAAGATCCTAAAGATAAATTTTAGGTAAGCCAAACCCCAGTGATGGAGCTTATCTAAAAGCTAGAATGAAAGTAAATCATCTTAGGAATTAGCTTTAGTGGAGTCATAAATAGTCAGAAGAAGTCTAGACACTATTTTGGAGTCAATAATGTGTAAGTTTGTTGTGAGGGTTCCGGGGACTATCAAAATCCGTGCATTGCATTCTCCTGGAAAAGGCATACCTCAAAGTTACTGATTCAATCTTCATGTGAAACACCTCATCACAAGGCTGGAATTTCCCAAAACTGAGTTCTCCCTTGCTGTGTTGAAAAGATGGTTGGGAAGATGGCATCACAAGATACTAATTAGGAAAGAACAGTCTCTGTCTGAAAGTTTTGTTCATTGCCTCTGTGACATGTAACAGGGCAATGGAGAGAGAGTGTGAGACTGAAGAGCTCCTCAGATTACAATGATATGTGAAATGCATGAAGATTTTCTTTAAAGCAACACAAATTACTTTTTCAAGATTATGCTGAGATTAGTCACAAATAGCGTTGGTAACTCAGAATGCATTGCAGAAACAAAACTTAAAAAAAAAAGGCTCTGCGATTTCTACTGCAAAAAATTATCTTACTGGCTGTTTGGTTCTCTTTCAGAACAGGACACTGCAAAACAAACAAAGAAACAAGAAGAACATTCCACGGGATTACAGTGAATGGGAAAAGTATGTTAAATCCTTTATATTTAAGTTTTTATTAAAGCTTATTTATTTGTTTAATTAGGGAACACAGTTGTATTTTCCAGAAACATAGTATTAAGGTCAGCACTTCAGGGAACTGTAACACTTCTATGAAACTTCATTTTTTTCTTAATAAATATTCTGTTAAAATGCAAATGATGCTTTGTGTTGCTAACACCTAGAACAAGTTAGTTTATACTTTTGGATCAGCTGTGTGAAGTACAGCAAGTCATCAGAAAAATAAAGACTGATTTTTTTTTTCTCTTTTCAGATTTAATTTTTCTGTTCAGCATCAAAGATATAAATCTATAGAGGTACATAAAAGCAAGGAATTGCAATTAACGTAATTACTGAGTTTTTTGAAAGCAATTCTAGGGTTATTTTACATGGGCTTATAAATCTGATCCTCTCTATACCTAAAGCCACAATTCTAAATTAAAAACAAAACTGATGAATACTTACTCCTGCACTGAACCCTGCTGACCTCAAAGAATGAGCTCCAGGCAGGTGCATCAGTTTACTCAGATGCAATTACACATAATAGAGATTTGGACAGCAGCTGTTTTGAGAGTGGATGGAGCCCTGATATAAAGACACTCTCTGCATCATATAGTGGTGGTGTATTACCATCCCAAGTTATATGACAGATTGATAGCTAAACTGTTGAACACAGAGGGGGGAAAGCACATAATTCTCTGTTTTGCATGGTAGAAGTGTTTCTGGAGTTCCTGAAATCTGGAATATGATGCTGTAGAATCAGAGTGAGGAGGCACAAGTTTCCAGTGCTGTAGATGGGGAGCTAAATCTAGGTATTGGGGGGTTGGGTAATGAAACTCTACCCCAAAATGCCTACAAAAACCCTATTCTGCATAAGATGTTGTTCTTACAAACAGTTGTGCATATCAGTTATTTTCATGTGTGTACTGAGGCCTTCCTCCTAAAATGTGGACAAAGAAAATAGATTATCAGAATAACTTCTGCAACAATTTATTCTTTCATCCCTCTTTCCACTGTAATCCAAATTTCCAAAGTAATCATTTGTGGATTTTGTTTGCAGTTTTATATACACAATCTTTAAGTGCTTTAGCATGCTGATAATACTACAGTTTGTGAATTTTCCCCTATAATGTATTTATTTTGGATTATGAGTATACTGAAACAGAAGTTGTTTGAAAGAAATTTTCCAGTTTGAAGCATATCATGTTTTCAAAACATTTTGTGGATAATTTCAAAACTTTCAAGTAATTCTTGAGGCAATTTCTGAACAAAAAGTTTAACTTCTTATTTTAAAAACATTTACTTGAAATGTGGTTAATTTATTATAAAAAGGTAAAAGTAAGCTAGCAAAAGATCAGATTCAAAATGGAGTACAGTTAGCCTTACCTGAAAAGGTTTTGATTTGGTTAAATTTTCAAATTATCTCTATTTCAGATAGAACTTATTTGTATTGTCAAGATCATCGTGGAAAGAAAATGCTATTGTTCATTAAGCCCTACACAAAAAACCATCAAGCATAGTGTTTCTAGTTAGTGTAGGAATGGGTTATTACCATACTTGTTTTATAGGACTATGGCAGCAATATTTCTTTATATAAATTCCTAACCACTGTTTTTAAAAGCTGCTTCAGAGTAGCTTTGTAAGTGTCTGAGACTATTTTGAAATTTCTCTCAGATTTACTGAGAGAAATTGCTTTGAAGCTGTTTCTTAGGTATTTTGGCAAAGGTTAATAGAGATGTTTGATGGGGCTGGGATTGAGCCTGATGATACGAATTCTTAAATGTTATCTTTTTTGGGGAGATAGTGAGGAGGTGAGGCAGAGATTTTTCTGAGGAGGAAGAGGAGGAGGTAATGTATAAACAGAAGCACAGAAAGTACACCTCAAAGGAGGGAGTTAAGACTAAGTGTCTTTTTCCTGACTAGTCACACATAATTGATCACTTTATTCCTTTTCTTTTGGTTTATAATGGAAATATAATATGACTTTCTGTTAGTCAAGGAGTCTTGCTATGCAGCATTATTGAATTTGTCATTTTTGTTAATTTAAGGTTCGATGTGGAAAAGGAATGTTCTAAAATTGATGAAAGCTGTGAAGAAAGTAACTCAAAATCAAGATTCTTCAATAGGCCAAGTCTGCCTATTATCAAAAATACAATAGACACAACTGGTAATGTCTTAGAAACATAATTTGTCTTTAATTGTAATAATGTGTTGTAGAGCATGAATACAAGTTGAAGAGGTATATCATATAGTTAGTGTCTTTATTTTTTGGCTTCTAGATATGCTGGAAGTTGTTAGATCATTAACTGAGCTTGAAGCCATATTCAAAAAAATTCTAGTCTTGATGTTAATAATCATTTAGAATGTTTATATTGTGTTTAGGTTGAGAGCTCTAGGTAAAGAAGTGAAGCATACATCTGGTATTACAAATGAATGGTAGAGGTTAGCCAACCGCTTTCAGCTAGCACTCTGAATTGTATGCCTATCAGAAGAATTTAGGTTTTACTACGAAAAATAAAATACAAATTTGTATTTTCGTAAGCCATGTGCTTTTTAAAAATAATATGCAGATTATGACATTCAAAATATTTTAGCTGACGGTGTTTTGTTTACATCTGCACAAGTTGTTAGTTGTTGTTATGTAGAAATATTTTTTGCTAGGAATGACAAAGAGAGAGAAAATCTTTGTTGCTACTCGTGAAAAAGAAAAGGGCAATGAAGCCTTTGCCATTGGCGATTATATGGAAGCAGTGACATATTACACTCGGTGAGTAAATACTCTTGTGGTCCTATATTTTAATGACTGTTACTTGTGAATATTATGTTTAGAGCAATGTAATTGAAGTAACTAATGACAATTAGATTATTTTCAAAAGGGCAAAAAAGATCTGAAGGAAAGCGCTGTTGCATACTGATATTAATTTTTATTTATCAGGAAGAGACGTGGCTAGTGATGAAATGCAGTCTACAGGTGTCACAGACTTCTTCAGATTTTTCAAAACAGTTGAGATTCAAGGGCATATTTACAAAAATAAAAGGATAAGCAGTGTGTTGAGAAACTAAATTAATTGTAATTAAACATAGGATTGTCTCATTGGTAGGATTGTCTCAAGTGTGAATAAGTACAATTGCTTCTATAATCTATTCTTAGGAGATTAAAAAAATCATTGTTTGCAGCTTCATCATAACACTGTAATTAGTAACAGTCCAGAAAAAAAAGTGTGTGAACATAAGATTAATAAAAATAAGACCTTTAAAAAGTGCTCGTCTTATTTAGTGCTCAGTGGACTACATTCAGACTTTGGCTTTATTTATGTAAGTAGAGGTTGTTGCTCCAGGACCTCTGTTGTATTTGTTTCAAAATCAGAGAAGTCCAAGGTGAACGGAATTGAGTGCACAGCTTATCCCACTGAGACAGACCTTTTATTCTTTTATTCTTTTTTTGTTCCCCATGTTCCCTATGCATTGTGCATTTGTGTGCAAACACTTGATCTTGTCCCTCCTCAGTCATGCTTTTTTTATAAGGGAAGTGTGAGTATCCCAGTGTGCTGTACCCCCACCACTTTGCTATTGCCCAGTCTTCCCAGTGAACTCAATTTAGAGTTGTCCTTGCTGAGTTAGCAAGGGTGTTGGCAAACATTCTCATGCACCCCTTTGTCATGTGCATCTTAGCACCCAGTGCTGCCAGAGTCTTCCCCCTTTACAAGCAAGATCAAGGAGAAGGCCATTGGTGAACCTCAACCCCCAAGCTCTTCACCATAACCTGCAGAGCTCTGTGGTTATTCTTGACACTCTCAAAGGTTTCATTTGACAGTTTTTTTGGAGCCTACATGATGGCAGGAAGAGGGATTAGTTTAAGTGACAGATAAGCCGTGGCATCTTCTGTGCAACATCTCAGGTCTAAGCCCTGGCAAGCAATAGGCCTCTGAAGACAGTAAACTAGGTGGTGGATGGTTGCCTCTGGTTTCACAGGAGGGAGTTTCTAACCACTACTGTGGTTAGAATATCAGTATTAATATTGTTATAATACTGTTTTCAGCTTTTAGTAGTGAAGAGTTTCTGCATTCAGGTTTTCGAATTATCAGCCCACCATGGTTAATATTCCCTTTTTTTAGGAGTATATCAGTAATACCGACTGCAGCTGCATATAACAACAAAGCTCAAGCAGAAATCAAACTTCAGGACTGGGACAGTGCTTTGCAGGATTGTGAGAAGGTACTAGATATGGAACCTGGCAACATAAAAGGTAAAGTAGAACATAAAGTTGCCCTTCTTTGTACTGTTTTTTCTCTAGCAAATAAGATGGTATATACCCATTCATGTTGAGCTTTAGATTAGGTCCAAGTATAATTAAGGAAACAGTGTAGCTCCTAAAAGTAATTTCAACATTTCTTTGGGGAGTTAGGGACGTTTTATGCAGTTCATCCTGTTGATCTGTAATGAGTATTCTTATGTGGTAGCATGGGGTTAACTCTTTGTTATATAATGACTATAAACCCTCTTGTATTCGTGCAGTGTAATACTTCCATAATGCCCACACTGAAATATTAATTAACTTAAAAGCAACATGAAAACAATGAAAGTTGCTGATTTAGTCCTTTGTAAGGGCAAGGACTTGAACATAGCTACCTGTATTTGCATGGGTGTAGGGAAAAAATTTTAATAATATGAAAAGATGCTTCAGAATTCATAACTGCTATCTGAAAAGATGTCATGTGAAATTGCATTATTAAAAATTATCAAGAGAACAGTTATTACGAATATAGAGTCATTATGAAGTAAATGCAAAATTTAAAAAACCATATAGACACTTAATATGTCTAGAAAAAATAGTGTACTTTTAGCCACTTTATGCTTTAAATACATAACTAATACACTTTGTTCCTTTGTAGCTCTGCTGCGCCGTGCCACTGTACACAGTCAGCTGCAGAATTATCAAACAGCCATAGAGGATCTGAATAAAGTATTGGGTGTTGAACCAGAAAACCCTATAGCTAAGGTAGAGATCAGTGAGTTGAATATGGCTAGAAAGAGATTGTTTGCAGTTGTAGCATAAAGTGAGTACAGTTTATGTTCTTTCATTTGAATATGAGTTTTCAGGACCCACTCAAGCTGCTGTACCATTGATCAGTTCCCAAGACCACAGGTGGTGGACATTAGGTACTTGTGATCAGATCTTCTGGTCACAACTTAATTGTGAAAAAAAAAATCTCTGTTGATTTAGATAATTTAGGTGCCTAAAAATTTGCTGTTGAATATGCTTTCAGTATTAGTGTCTTAGCTGATAAAAATTACTTGGAAATTTCTCTCAAAAAGATCCATTGGGATAGGTGCATTTAAGTTTGACACATAATCAAAAGAAAAATTCAACAGACATGCCAAGCTTCTATTTTTGTAGTAGTAAAGTCAACACAGAAGGAGAGGACCTGGGTTCTGTCCTCGCTTCAGCATGATCCTCATCTCTCACCTCCAGGCTAGAATGAAAAACCTTTGATACCTTCTGATAAATCTAAGAAAGCCAGATGCTTTCTTTGAAAATCAAGGTCAGGATGTGATCCTTGTGCTATTACTTCAGCTGTTTAGGAGAGGATTGATTTGTGTCTGTTCATTGGTATCTTGGGGGTGTTTTGCAGGTTAGAACACAGTCCTTGCACTGGGACTCTACATGTCCTGAACATCTTCAGTACTGGGCAGTTTTGATAGTTAACTGCTCTTTTTCTGTTATTTATGACTCCATCATACTGATCCCCCCACACACTTTTTTTGCTTATGACTTCTGAATGCTGTTGAATTGTCTCATCACCTGAATTCTGTCCAATTCTTGTTGGTGGCATAGTGTAAGCTGCCAGCAGCTGCTGATTGCTGCTTCTTTCCATGGAGTTATTTGATCACTGCTATTGCTTGACCCAGTGAGAGAGGTACAGGTTTGTTGTGTCAAATTCACACACAGCATTTATGCCTTCTAGGGTGTTCTTGGAGATAAATTCCTCTCCAGAATAGTTCCTGAGTTTCACATTAACCAAGGAATTACATCTGTCTTGAGATTTGAGTTTCTAAAAGAGATTTGGGATTTTTTTTCTGTTTACAAGAGTGAATCACTAAATAGCTCGTGAGTCTGTGATGAAAAACTCCACAGCAGTCTTTGGGAAAAGTTGTATCAAACAGGCTGTGCTGAGACTTCTTTCAATACCAGACATAAATACTCATTTTGAGTACACTCTTCCAGAGATGTAAATGCATTAGTTCCTTTGCTGAGCAATGCTTTTGTAGCTCAGAGCAGATGTCTGTACTTTGTCCTTATCCATGCCAGCTATTATGCCTTGGCATAATGACAATTGCTTAGCAGGGCATTTTTTTCAAGTTGCTCTTTGCTTGGAGGATCCTCAAAACTCTCTCGAGCTAAATAGGAGTGTATGGAACATATACAGAGTGTATGTTTATGTTCAGAATCCCTAACAGAAAAATAAATTGGTTGTCAGCAACTGGATTTCTTCAAGGTACTTTGTCCATGTGAATCTTTACTTGGTGCTGTTCTTATTTTTGTCTTGAGACAGGAGTACTGAGATGGCACTTCCTTGCACAACATTGAATTAGATTCAGAATAGTGCATAATGTTGGATGTATCTTACTCTGCTCTGAAAGTGTAAAGTGGTTTAGGAGTTTAAGGGTTACAGTGACAGTGCAGGTTGATTGTTGGACTTTACGATCTTAAAGGTCTCTTCCAACCTTGACGATTCTATGATTCTAAGTGCAGTTAAAATTGGGGGTTTTTGAGTAATAAAAAAGGTTATGGAATGAGAAGCTGTTTGATCATCTAATTGTAGCTCTTACAAGAAGAGCAAACCCTTTCATTATTCAGGTGTGACCTTCTGCTACACTGTTAAGACATGGTCATCTCTTGGTTCTAGTTTTATCAGTTACATTCCCCCATCAGACATCAGATTCACCATAGCATAAATTTTGATTTTGACTTTAGGCTATTTTGGAAATTTTTTAGAGAGCCTGTTTTCTACATGTGTCTTCTTAGCAGATCATGCCAGATACCAGAATAGTAAATCTTTTTTTTCTTTCAACTTTTTTTTTTTTTTTTTGCTTAAGCAGTTAATTCAAGAAAAATGCTTATTTATTTCTGTGATATCTTCTGAGAGAGACAGAAATTAAGTGTTAATCTTGGTTTTGATACCAACTCTTGGGAAATTCACATTTATTTACTATCTTTTTATATTGGTAACATCTTGATAGTTCTTCAGGATCTCACATGGATTATTTAATAGAACGTATTTGCTGTATATAAATAATAATTTATATACAAAATAAAAAAGGCTTCTGCTATTCCTGTTTTTTTTTCTCTGTTCTAGAAAAATCTGCTGGAGATTGAAGAGAAACTGAAAGGTTTAAAGCCTGTATCTGAGATTCAAGGCAAAGGAAAAAGAATACTTATTCAAGAGATAGAGGATTCAGAATGTAATGAAGAAAGAGGGGAAAATACAGAAGAATGTGAAAGAAGTGGTGGAGATAAAAGTAATGTCATATCATTTCCTATTTTATTTTAACCTGAGGAAAAACATTGCTTTTGACATTGCAGTGTTTATTCATCCATATTTACTTTCAAAGAATTTTGCCTGTTTGAAGACTAGAATTATACTTACTACGTAAAGTAGATCCAAGTGTGAATCTAGAATCCAGTTTTATTACACATCTTTGGAATTCTTTTTGTAATGGGTATAACAGAGAGAGAAGGAACACGTTGCTATAAATCACCTACTTCCCTGGGCCCTGTGTAATTTTATACCTGTCCTTTGATGTGGACCCAGTAACAGATATTTTTTGGTGTTAAAGAATATTTTGTGTTTCTTAGATCCTTCTCTCACACAGCGCTCCTGCATTCTGATGTCACATTTTGATTCTACATTTTTCTTCCCTTGATTGGATCAAAGGATGTAAAAATGATCAAGTGGTCTGTAATTTTTTTTGTTGTTTTTTGTTTTGAAAACTATCAATCTTTTTTTGGTTTTTAATGAAGGGGTAATGAGACACGACGGCAGTGACTTCTATGTTTTCTGTGCCTATGTAGTTCTTGGTCTTGAAATTAAATCAGTCTGTGGGTTTTCCAGCTTAATCATGAATGTTGGACTGTACGTGTGTGATATAATGATGCATTATTTGCACACAAGTTTAAGGAAAATACTTTTCAAAATCAGTTGGTGTCCACTAAGTCTCCTCAGCTATAACCCTGGAAGAAAGGATGGATCATGTCCCTAGCCTAAATATCAGTTAATTTGGGGTTGCTTTCTATTGGGAACATTCAGATGACTATGTGCCTTCTAGCTCCATAGGAAGACTCCCATTCTGTTGATGAAAGGTTAGACTTTTAAACATAGGGAGGATTGTCAACTGACGTCAGTGGCATATGTGTTCATGTGAAATACTTGACTGTTTTTGAGATTTAAGTGGCAAGCATCGTCATAGATTACTCTGTGTTTTCTTGTGCAACTGGAAACAGATATGAATTTAGTTCAGTTAATGAATAAAAATGTTCTGTGAACCTAAGAGCAGTAGGTAGACTAAACATCTTGTATGTCTTCTCTATACATCTGGTCACGCGGTCACTGGCAGTCCAGTAGTCCATGTAGTCCTGTCATGTAATCCCATTTATTTCATATTCTCGTTGGTAAGCCTAATGCATTATTAGTAAGCTTACAGTTTAGAGATTGGGGGAAAAAAATCAAAATATTTTTTGTTTTCTTTAGCTCTGAAGAGCTACTGTGTTTATGTTTCATGGCCTTGCAGTGAGTAAGGTCTTAGATTTCCATTTTGAAGTTTTTGATTTGTAGAGAAGCAAAGTGTGTTTGATAGGAGACAATTAACTACTCCAATGATCAGTTGTGCTTGCTGTTGTATTTTTGGCATTCCTGGTATTGCTTTCTGCTCTTCTCTACCACTGTATTCCATGATCCTCTTTCCAGTGTGTTTGTTCATTTGGTATTGTTGGTTTGGTTTTTTTGTAGAATTTTAATCTCTCTGAAGAAGGAACCCTTATTTAGAATTCATTTGTGCAGTGTGTAACACAGTGGGGCCCAGCCTCTTGCTTTTAGGCTCTATTGCAAGCTTGCAATATGAAAATTTTGTACATGTTAAAACAGACAATATTGAAAATGCACTCTAGCATTGCATTTGCAATGCATATCCTGAAGTTAAGAAAACCCCTCAATTACAGTGTCAGTCATTTTTCATTTTTATAAACAGAGACTGCTCCTAAGGAGAGATCAGAGTTATTTGAGAAACTTGTTTTATTTTATGGTTCAAAAAAATCCAGGTACAATCTCAATAATCTAAACCAAGAACACATAATACAAAAGAGATACTTGCTGACAGTGTGTGGCAAATGAAGAAAAAATATTTTAAGATTTTAGAAGTTCATCTATAGAGATTTAGAACGTTCCAGTTGCCTTCATATGTAGGTAGTTCAGAGTGGATGAAAGAGCTGAAAATGTTTACGGGCTTCATAATGGGTGAATTCACTGTGAACTGAACTTAGATACATTGTTTTTCATTCTGCCACTGTTATTCTCGTGCCATGCTTCTGGAGGATAAATACTTTTTGTAGCTGGAAATTAATTTTAAATGAAAGACAATGGCATCCATTAAACAAACCCCAAGCTGCAAATATTCCTTTTGGAGTATTCAGTAGTTTGGTTGTTTTTTTTTTTTTTAGGTTTATGATGGTCTTTCCATTTTAAGTTTCTTACTGTAGTAGTAACATACATTAAAATTCTTTCTAGATTTTATTTGTTGTCATTCTGATCAAAATTCTGCCCATACTTCTCAATAACTTTCTTAAATTTTCTTTGGAATTTATAATGCATCTAGATTTTTTTTTTTAAGAGAAGTTCATAAGTGATGATTTTTTTTTAGCCCAGAATACTGCTTTCACAAATACATTTCTCTGTAGAGACCAATACAAGAACTTTGTTTATGTTATAAACACTGAAACTGAAAGACAATGAGAACTATATTTGAGAAATATATCTGTACAGTTTTGTGCATGTTGTTTACTCAGTCCAGAAATATTTAGGCAATTAGTATTACCCACCAACTAAACAAGGTAACTGTGAGTATTCCTGTTTTCCAGGGCACTCCAAATGCTATGTTTCCAGTTTAATTCTGGACTGGTTCTGTGCACTTCATCTTCAGGAAATTTTCTCCTCTATTCAGGAAGTGATGGTCACGTTAATGACATTCACATCACATTTTATCTACCTCCCTTGGTTTTTCTTTTTCTGTAGAAGTTGGGATGCTTTTCGAGAGTGTTTCACTGTGTTTTCTAAAAACTTGCCCTATTACCTGTTTGTCTGTGACATTTAATTTTTTTTCTGTTTTGTTGAATGTATAAATAATTAAGTTTTTAAAAAATGTCTGTGTGGGTAGATTTATCGTATTATTGTGCCCATATGGTATTTCAAAACAGACACCACAGCTAGGGAAGGGGCAGTTGGAGCTTTTTTCTGTTAGACACTAGAGAATTTGTTGTTTTTAAAATTTTTATGCTTTCCCATCCTGTTCAGTTTGATTTCAGTAACATTTTGCTCATTAAAAAAATAAATTCGTTTGTAACAACCTGAAATTCACCCATGTTGAGTCAAGTTCAGATGTTTTGTTTGAGTCAACTGGAAGTATTACGCCAGTATATGAAGGCATGAAAAACTTAAATATTTCAAGTTAAGGGAAGGTGAAACCCCAGCATCTTAATAGTACCACAACACGGAGTTGCCTTTCTGTGAGTACTAATATCAAGAGTCAGGCACTCTGCAGAAATCTCTATTTGAATGCTCTGATAATAATCTGGTAGGGATTCAGGTGAATAAGGAAAATGGAGATGTTATTTTCTGATACCCTTGTTCTATAATTTTTCCTAATTAAATTGGTAATAAATAATAGTGCTAGTTGAACAATCAGAAGTACGTTTAAGAGGGGTTTTGACATGATGTTTAAATGAAAACTCCACAATAAGGATTTAGAAGCTTTTATCTCCCCTATTGTATGTTGTATTTGTGGAGAGTTTTGAAGTGTACAATGTTACTGGTTTGTTAGCTGGGTGATCTACTTTTAGCATGCAAGCATTTTGATTTGGTCATGGAAAATCGAAGTAGCCGTGTTGTAATAGCCAGTATGTAAAGAGTTAATTCAAGGTGAACTCTACCATTCTGACGCTACGGGACAGGGGTTCCCGTGCGCCCAGCGAGGAGAAATGACATTTCATAGTAACACCTTCTCAATAACAATTGCAAATTACTTGTAAGTAGGGATTTTCCTGTGTCCTTGGAAGTGTTTTCTGAAGCAGATAAATCTTGGTAGCGTTAGGATATCTGCAGGATTTGGCCCGCTGTCCTTTGGCAGCCCCCCCCCGTTGTCAGGACGGTAGTTCGTTCCGGTGATGCAAGCTCCAGCCCTGCTCATTAACTTCCTTGCAGGAACCGCTGTGCCAGTGGCGGCCGAGGCGGCGGCGGGGGAGCCCGCGATGGGCAACGCGCACAGAAAGTTCCGTAGCAAAGGAGGCGGCGGTAAGGCGGAGGGCAGAGAGAAGCAGAAGCAGAAGGAGCCCACTGAGAGCGGATTAAAAAAAGACACAGCAGAGGAGAAACCAGGAAAGCATTTGTCAGACCACGAAGGCGAAGTTAATGGCTATTTACACACTGATCAGAAGAGTGAAAGCTCTGAGTCTGGGAGCTCCAGATGGTATACCGCAGGGTCTCAGTGGGCTGGTGGTGCCAGTCCTACTTCGCTTCCTGCTATTGCAGCAAAACTAAAAAGTGAAGGAAACGAGTTATTTAAGAGTGGACAGTTTGGAGAAGCTGTGCTCAAATACTCGGAAGCAATTGAATATGTCGTTGGTCTAGGTGAGTGTAATATCTTATACTTAAATCCAGGACTGTTTAGATGATTTAAAGGAACTGCCGATGAATTAAATTAGTCTGTTGCTGATTTTTGGCACGAGTTACTGTGTAGTAAATTCTCATTTCAGTAGACAGCAATTCATGTGACAGAAAATATAGGAACAAAAGTAATGTTTTAATTTCCTTGAGACAGAGCTGTTGGCATTTATTTATGTTTGAATAATTACATGTTCTAGGTGACATGATAAAGAAAAGCTCCTTACAGCTTTGCAGTGTCAGCAAACTGCATCACTGCACTGCAACTTGGAGCAGGCAAGTCTTTAATTCTTGAGTGTCATTTTAGTAATGGTCTTTGATTTTAATTGTAACTTCTTTTAGGAGAACGAAGTCCAGATGATTTAAGTATCTTGTACTCAAACAGAGCAGCATGTTACCTCAAAGAAGGGAACTGCAGTGACTGCATTCAGGATTGTAACAGGTAAATTGAAACCTCCTATGTAGAGCAACATTCCTGATGATCAAACATTTAACTGATATATTACTATTGCAGTTTGACTCAGAACAATATCAATAAGGTCTGATTCCCTGTCTAAAAGACAGATATCTTTGTCAGTTATGTAAACAGTCACATGGAACCTAGGGAAGGAGTAACTTTTAACTTACTGTCTTGCTGTGTAAGGGCAATTTTTAAGCTTCTTGTGTACATAGAGATGCATAGCAAGATTAAAATTTTTAATGTAAAAGCTGGTTTACAATGGTGTTCTGCAATAACTTATATGTAAAAGCTTTGTTAAGCCAGATACTCATCACAGAGTTGGAAATTGCTTTCAAGCATGTGTATGGTGTATATGTGTGTGTCCTCTGTGTTTGGTTTGTTGTTTTGATTTGGGGTTTTTTAATATATACTTTGAATAGTCATAAACAGTAATTACAGCTGTTCAGGAATTGAGCTGAAGTCCTTTCTGCTTATTCCGGCTCTTAAGGATACAGGAGTTGGAAAAGATCAGGTACCTTCAATAACTTCCAGACATTGCCTTCCACTAAATTATTACTGTATTTCTGATATATATTTTTTAAACATTTTCATAGATTGAGTTAGTAATGCTGAGGCTTAAGGTGCAAAAAAGTATCCTAAAGCAATTAGAAGTCATATTAATTAATCAGTTGAGTTTTTGCACAGCACAACTCAGCTGCTAAAAGCTTCCAAAACTAGAAATAAAATAAGCATGTACTTGCATATTAACGAAATATATAACTTACTGTATGTATTCTACCTGACAAAAAAGTTTTCTGAAAAAAAGACTCATTAGCAATATTTTGTTAAAACATGCAGGACTACAGTCAGCTGGTCAATAAAACAAGAACCATCACATTTTTCTGTCCAGGAGGTTTGATGTGTGTAAGACTTCAGCTGAAATGGTTTTGGGTTTTGTATTCTTACCAACTGGGAGCTTATTTTCTTACTACTTAATGATAGTGTCCTTACTATCATGCTTATTTTCTGAATACACAAGTACCCCTGATGCTTAGAGGTAGAAATAATTTTAGAGACTGGGAAGCAGGAATGCAAAACTACAAACGTGTAAATTAGACAATGTCAAACAAATCTTCCCTAGGCAACACAACATAAAGAAAGATCTACAAATAGGTTACTTGATTTCAAAGTAAAAAATTGTGTAGTGCTGATTCTTGTGATATGAAAATAAGTATTTAAAATTTATATTTTATTGAGTTTTAGCTATTTGGGGCTTAGAATTGTATAAAAAACCCTGTGTTGGATCTCTTGTCTCAAGATTGTGGCTTGGTGTGCCTTTGATTCTTGTTACAAAGAGTGAAAGAAGGCTCCCATGTACTGATGTGAATTTCTTCAGTACTATTGTGTGGTTTGGTCCCTGGCTCTATCATCTTTGCACTCTACCCTGAATATGTAGTTTTCCATTCCCACTATTCTTCAAGCAGTGTTGTCTTCCACTGAATTTATTTATGATTGTTTTTTCCTTCATTCTTGAGGTTAGAAATTTGAAATTGTGTTAATATTCTTCTGAGTTACAGAATGTCAGGCATTTTTGCAGACATTTTGTAGGGGCTGTGATGTTGTGTGCAGTTGTAGCAGCTGTGATGTTGTGTGCAGTTGTAGCAGCATAAAAGAAATGGAACATTTGAAGTATTTATGTGAAATTCAAAATGTTTTTTCTAGAAATCATAGTTTCTCTAGCTTTAGAAGGAGTAATGATGCAAAGCCAATTTACAGCAGAGAAGGCCAGCAGCCTCCTTGCGCTTATAAACAGGAGCACAGCCAGTGGACTGAGAGAGGTGATTATCCCCTCGTAGTCAGCACTTGTTAGACAACACTGTGATAACTTCTGGTTTTCAGCTTCCTCAGTACTAGAAAGACAGTGATCACCTGGAGTGAGTTCAGTGACGTGTCACAGAGCAGGTTGTGGACTCTGGAGTATTCCCTGAAGAGGAGAGGCTGAGGGAGCTGGGTTTGTTCAGCTTAGAGGAGAATGGCTTCCAGAGGTTCTAGGAGCAGCCTGCCAGTTCCTATGAGGAGATTATCCACAGATGGATCCTGGCTCTTTCTGTCAGTGCTGTGGGAGGATAAGAGACAACAGACAAAAATAGAACCACACAGGGTTTGGGACTGTGTATTAGGAGAAACCTCCCCATAAACAGTGTGGGGCATTGCAACAGATTGCCCAAAGATGTTTTGCAGAGGTTCCCTTGAAGGTTTTCGAGGCCCAGCTGGGTCAAACCCTGAGCAACCTTGTCTGATCTTGGGAGTTGACCATACCTGGGGTGGACCAGGGACATCTCAGCCTAAATTACTTTATGACTCTATGAAATCTAATTGTCTAGACTCATCTTAATTGCAGTAGTATTTCAAAGCTGATCCTTCTTTCTCTTCAGCAAGAATCATTGATTGAAAAAAAAGTAGTCTTTAAGAAATAAAGCCTTTGTGGACTGCTTCTTCATGTTGCTGGAAAAGCACATGGTGTTTGGGAGGACTTCTGATGGCACAGTGTTGAACTCTGTGTTCACCAGGCAGACACTCAGAAGACTAAACAGACACAAGACAGGCAAAAACCTAAAAAGCAAAGACAGGTGTACATTCCTGTCTTACTGACTGTATCTTTTATGTACATACTTTCCTGTAAGGAAGAAGAATTGAAAGTTACGTAAGTGAAAGCACCATATACTCAAAACCCTCGTAGATCTAGGCACGTCTTAAGAAAATAGCTTTTGCACTTAAAAAACTGCCATTACATTAAGCATATCTTGGTGATAAACGCAGTTTTCCAGATAGAGTAGAGTAAGCTGTAGTAAAAGCACTAACCATTTCAAAACTGCATGTAATTTAGGGTATTAATGAATTTAGGGCGAACCACTTAGTCCCATTTTCCTTAGTTATGTTACTGGAAAGCCCATCTGAAATCACAAAGTTTATGTATAATTGCATATATTATAAAATATTTTTATTATTATTATTTCAGTTACTCTGTTTCAATCCTGCATTTTTCTGTTGTTTTCTCCAGAGCTCTGGAGCTTCAACCATTTTCCCTTAAGCCTCTTCTGCGACGAGCAATGGCAAATGAGTCAATGGAGCGGTATCGACAGGCATACATTGATTATAAAACAGTCCTACAAATAGACAGCAGCATCCAAGCAGCAAATGATAGTGCTAATAGGTAACTCCACTTACAAATTTTCTGATATGAGTTAAAATAGAAAAGTAGACCTTAAATTTGTTTGTTTTACATACTCCCTCTGTTCTGTATCCCTTGTAGTTGTCATCACAATTAGTATATTAGAGGATTGACTGTTTCATTTAGTTGTTTTCCCATAATTTCACAGTTTTCCTCTGCCAGCAGTAGGTAACTTTCTGTTTTTTAAAAATGTAATATTTTAAAGTTGGGGGGTTTTTTAACTAGTGCTTCCACTTTCCTAACTTGTATTTTGTACCATATAAAATAATACTCTAAGGTCCATACTTTTTCTCTGACATTTCTGTTTACTTTTCATATTAACAATCTTTCTGTGGCAGTTGAAGATTTATGTTAAGCATGAATCATTCAGTATTCTGCAGAGGTGTAAAAAACATAATTGAATATTATCTTTGACTTAAGTACTAATCTTCCAGCATTAATTCTTGCTGCCAAGAGAGGTTTGAATTTGTATAATTATATTTTAATAGTATAAAATCAGAGTGTACACACTATTGTAATTGTGTTCTCATCAACACAGAGTAAGTACATAAGTGTATGAATTATAGGATTTTTCCATTCCTTTTTCTTTCCTTTTTTCTTTTAATGGACAAAAAAAAAGTATATATGAAAGCAGAACAACCATTAATCGTTGAGCAGGAACACACAAGCATGCGACTTTTAACAATGGAATCTAGTACCTTTTTGTTTTTTCTATTTAAGGCAAGGCCATGAACACTTGCACTATTACTTCATTAAAAAGTCCATAATATCTTTCTTTAAATTCTGCTTATTTGGCCAGAGAAGATCATGACGCTGAATCATCTGCTCTTACAATTACTGTTTTTGATAACACAACAAATAGTTACTAATCTCCTGTATCTATGGTGATAATGGAGCACTTGGATTGGTGAGATAAATGCTTTTCCTGGTATTTATGTAATTATTACACTTCTTAAAAATCTTGTTGGCTTATTTTATCTGCAGATATTCTTTTAATATTTCTCCTTGACTTGTAACTTGCTTACTAATAAGCTTATCTCCCTTTTTCCCCTTAACACTCTTCCTTTTCTCCTCTCTAGGCCTTCCTTATGTTTTTAGCTTCACTGCTCATTACTCTTTCCTCCCTGGCAACCCATCACCTTATTTCAGCTGCTTCTTCCTTCTTCTCTTCTGCTGGTAATTCATTTTTGCTTGCAAATTGTTAGTTTCTAAAGCATAGACCTCCTGCGTAATTGAACTTCTACTATAATTTTTCTTTAATATTCCATCACTTATGAATTCAACTGAAACTGTTTACCAAAGTATTCATTTTAATTTCCAAAGTAAGAGACCTTTCTAAAAACGAATTTTAATAAAACATTACAGTTACTGTGCTGCCTTTTAACTTAAAGGGACAACACCAAAATGTAATTTTTTTTTTTTTTTAATATTAAGAATATCAGGTCTTAACAGCCTGCTTATATTGGAGGATTTCTTGTTTTTTAAGTTCCTCTGGGAAGTTGGATGGTGGTGCTGTAGGAAGCTGATAGGAAGAACTCATCATCCTACTTGTGTACGAGGGTGGGTTTGTTGAACAATGTTAAGGCTTGTCTCTCTGTGGTTACATATCTAAGCAGACTTTCCAAAAACCTTAGAATCAAATGCATATCTTTAATACTCATGTAAAAAACATGTAGACTTTTAGTATCAAGCCTTTACCTGATCATTTTGCAATTAAAAGGAAATAATTTGAGTGTAAGTACAAACAAGTATACACAGTTATTTGCTTATCTTGTTTATTAGATGATGTTGAATTGTGTCTTTTATTGGTTCCTGACGTGACTTTTTAGATAAATTGGAAGGACTGTTTCTTTTAATGGTGTGTGACAAGTAACTGGAAATTGCATTTCAAGCATGCTTTTAATTAGTGGCATTTTCCTAGCTTTGTGAACATCAATGGATTTCCTACTTTGTGTATTTTAATTTCCTCTTGAGTGAGTATTTTATTATTTGCTTTTCACAGTTAGAAATACGGGAACTCTAATGTGTAGGAATATATTTATGCATTTCCTCTTACTAAAAGGAAGTTTCATTCCAGTTGTCTCAACTCCTTTAATATTAGTGAGGAAATTGCATGAGATAGCTGTATTCAAGTAGTATGTTTTTTACACCTGTGTTAGGTGGAAATGCACCTGATATAAAAAATTTTAGGTTTCTTTGCCATAGTATCAATGTGACTTTCTTTGCTACTCAATTCAGAATTTTCCTCTGTTAAAGTGTGTATTAGACTTATGACCAGTTGAACTTGACTCTTAAGCTTATGTTGAGATTAGATGATGTTTATCTCACTGTTATTCTCATAATTAATTAAATTTGTTGGTTTTTTAAAAAAAAAAAATTACAAAATTTCTAATGGAACCATGAAGTCTCATGTGGCTTCACTTACTGTGTTAACTTAGGTCTTCAAAATGTAACATGGCAGTGGGAAACTCCCACTTGAATGGAATTTGGATTGAGCCTCTCATGGACTGAAATAGTTGATTTATATATATGTGTTGGTTTAAGAAAGACTGAACAGTTTTTATATACAATGAAAATATTTTTAAATGGGGATAAGGAGTGATCGATTAATGAATTTGTGACTATTAAGCTCTAAAATGCTACTTAATGCAGGCTACATTGTGACCTGCATTGGTTATTTAGACAATTATTGTTTCATTTGACATTTGCAAAGTTAGGTACGACACTTTGTCTGAGGATATTGTAATCTACACTTGTTATAAATAACATCTATGAACAGCCGAGAAGAATAAACAAAATAAATACATCCATTTTTTTCATATTTCTTTACTGGATGTGGTTGGAAGCATTTAGAGCTTAGTTGCAGAAATTAGTCATTGGCTTAAACATGAACAGGTCTTGTCTTCTAAATACCATTGACAACTGTGAAAATATTTTTTAAATTAGTCTGAATAATTGTTCAGTTGTTTTTTGAAAAATTAGAACATTGCATTATTTAATTAGGGTGTTAGTTATTGAAGTGTGAGTTAAATATATGAAAAGTCATGTTGGTGGGGCTGTTCTCTTTCAGAATAACAAAGACTTTAATAGATCAGGATGGTCCCAGTTGGAGGGAGAAACTGCCACCAATTCCAGCTGTTCCAGTTGCTGCTCAGTTACACAGGTGGGATGGAGGAAACTTCACTTCAGAGAATAAGCCAGAAAGTACTGTAGATGTCAACAGAGAAGAACAATTGGAAATGAATTGTATGTATAACTAATGCAAATATATATACAAAAAAAGAAAATAATTTTAATTGAAAAATGGAATATGTTTTAGTAATATCAAAGAAACTGCTTTAGAAAATACTTTTCAGAGACCTTTGTGAAAAGCCGAAGTAGATGACTGTCATTTACATGATTGAGTTTAATGTGCTTTATGGAGCACAGGTATGATAATTTTTTTAAACCAAGTGATGTAGTTTGCAGCATGTAATTTCTGAAATTATATAAAGTCAGCAGAAATACTCATCAGCAGTATATTGAGTCATATAATGAGCATCAGGTATAGTTATATGTCTGACATCATAGTATAGTTATAAAACAGTTTTCCCCTCCAAAAAACACCACCCAAACAAACATCCAACTTTGACAGAAGACATTTAGGAGTCATCTTTCAAAGATGTCAGTTCTGCACTTGTCTATACATAATCATTGAGTGCTAAACTCTAGGAAACTAACTTCCTTCCTGATTTTTTTTTTCTCTTCATTGCAGTTTCCATTTTTCTTCTTCAATAAATCAGATGAAGGAACCTTTCTGGTTCATATTTTATTGACATTAAACATTCTTTTTGCAAAGGCCTTAACTCTGTGATATTTTTACTCGAGTATTAATTGGTTTCCCTTTGAGTTTATTTCAATATAAACAAAAGTAGTGCTGAGGATACTCTCCCCTTGATGAACACAGAGGTGGCTGCAGTGCATAACTGGGCTATTGGCCAAATGTGTAACAGTGATGGGGTTATCTGTCCATAATGCATTGTTGCAGTACTGAATGTCCTCTAAGTGCTTGTCTCAATCTGTTTCAAATAGAACAGGCTTTGGTTAGGCTTTGATTTCAGAAATGTTAAATGAAGGCTGTGTAACTCTTTTCTTCACTGAAGGACATCTGACTCTAAGGTTCTGGTTGCCTTCTCAGGGCTCTGCTGCATGTGAGACCTGACAGTGGTAGCTGGTGCTGAAAGCCTGCCAGCAACAATGTTCAGTCAGCAGTTAAAACTTACTGTTGGCTGACACTTTTTTGCGACAGTTGTGTCTTGTTTTGTGTGTTGTGCAACTCGAGTTGTAATTTAGTTGTGTGTTTCATGTAGTTTCTTAATTTTTTGCCGAGTTCAAGTTTTCTGGCACAGGAGACTGCCATGTTTTTATAAAAGAACTCAATGAGTTTAATTATTAGTTAAAATTGACGGGTTATATACAGTGTTGAAAACCATAAGCTTGGCAAGGGGCTTATACTCTTTAGCAAGGTGCAAAAAGTAGATTATGATTTACTTAGAGCTGTGTTGGTACTTCCTGTTTGCTCACAACAGAGACATGAAACGCAGTCAGGATCGCAGTCTAACCCAAAAGCATATGAAATAAATGATGTGGAGTTAAGAATGAAAGGCAATTATGGAATAACACAGTATTGATAAAAAGAAGTGTAGTTAGGTGTTTCCAAGTTCCTCAAAGCGTCTTTTATACATTGTTATTAACACAATATAACTGATGTAACTCCGACTAATGCAATGATTTGTTTGTCATTATTGGCATTGTAATTGTGATAGTTACTTGCAGGAGGAACATCAGATCAAATTATGGCCACTTTGGTATGATGGTAGAGATCTAGAAGGTCTTTAATACTGATGATAAAATCTCCACCATTGCAAGTAAAACTAACATCTCAGTGGGGATAGGTAGGCCCTCTCTACCCTCTAGAAGGGGTAGGTAGAAGGAGATGAAAGCTTAGAGCTTTCTGTTGCATTCCCATTATTTTCACCCTGGTGCATGGGGAAGTATGTGTTGAGCCAAATGTAGTTTATCCCTTTCTTAGAGCAGCAGGGAGATAGGGGACAGAAATGGCAATGTGCAGACTGATAGACACTCCAGTTGCCAGGCTTTTATTCTTAGTCTGCACAGATAATTCAGCTACCCTTAATGAACTGACCTTCTTATGTAACACTGTGATCCCTTTGTGATGTAGGTGAGGAAGCTATGGAGAAATTCAAGAGATTGAAAAATGAAGGGAATGATTTTGTAAAAATGGGGGAATATGACGAAGCTATAAATAAATACAGTGAATGCATGAAGTTAAATGCTGAGGAATGTACGGTCTACACTAACAGGTAAAGATCCAATATCTAACTCTACTTTGTGGGATATATTTTCTCACTGCAAATAGAGATTTTACATCCCATCAGTAACTATTGTGAAAAAGGAATTTTTTCCCCACTTGATAAGTATTTCTAATGACAAAGCTGATTTTTTGTTAAACCACATTATTTTCCAAGGGGAGGAAGTATTCATGTCAGTGCTATATATCTTAAAATCCTTTATCTAAATAGAATAAGCAATAGTAAAAGTTACAATTAGCATAGCATAGTGCAGCATTTTTTGAGAATACTGGCATGATTTGAATTAAAAACTTAACATGCAATAGTAGTACCTCAAATATGAAGAGTAATAATTCAGAGGAAATGTACATTCTGAGAAAATAAAAGTAGGAACACAGTCATACATCAGTATTATTTTAAGGGTTGACCTAATTCTGTAGTATAATTCTTTATGCTGTAATCTTATCAGCTTTCACAAACTAAGAAGGATTTGATTAGATCAGTAGTTGAATAGGAGACTTCCAAGTAATAATTAGGTGCAGAAAGCAGTATTGTTTATTTAGTCTAGAGCACTTTTTTACCCAGAATGGCTGTAAAATAATCTGTATTACCACTATGCTATAATTTTATTTATTATATTTTATTTATCATTTTACATTAACCACTATACTGTCATATTATCCTAACATAGCCTCTGCTTTTAAAATACTTGCATATCTACCTAACTTTGAGCATTGGTCATACTTGAATTTTGGCTTTTATTGCAGGAATTGCCCTCTCTAAATCCGTCCAGTGATGTTCTTAATACTTAATGATTTCGATGTACTTTAAAAAAATACCACATTGAGACTGAATTGTGTGAAGTATTGTAATTAACATTTACGAGTCAGATACTGTTAGCACTACAACACTGTAGAATTTACTTATATTGCAGTGTATTCTGTTTTTCTGTGTTAGAGCTCTCTGTTACTTGAAACTGTATAAATATGAAGAGGCTAAGCAGGATTGTGATCATGTTCTTCAGATAGAAGATTCTAATATTAAAGCTTTTTATAGAAGAGCACTAGCGTACAAAGGATTACAGGTGAGGAAAAAGAACATGGCAGGTATCCTTAAGCACCTCTAAACTTGCTTATCCTCTTCAAAGGCAATGAGGTAGTTGCAGTCGATGGGTGAAAGCAAACGAAGTACACAGTGTGATGATCTATTACTTTGTAGAGCACTTAACATAGATAAAACATTATATAAATATTTTTTCAACATAAAAACCTGCATGTTGACATGTAATGATTTGAGAAAACACAAGAATATTGGAATAATGAGATTTGACTGGAGATGGTTTAAACAAGTTTCAAATCTCTTCTAATATACTAATATCCTGAGTATCCCAGTCTTTTCTATCTGTCAAGGTGTTTACTATAACTTTGCTGGTGACAAATGGATTCTCTCCAAGTCTGTCTTTATCTGTCCAAACTAAAATCTCAGGCTGTCTTTGGGCATCTGTTCATGTTTAAGTGCCTGTCATATTAAACCAGGGTTTTAATTATCTTTGTTTTCTCTCTCTTCTTTCCCCAAAGACATTATGAACCTTTGTCAGTAATATACTTTGTGGAAGTGTTGGTATTCAGCCTTTTCCTTTCCATCTGCACAGTGATGTTGGTGTCTGTACAGTGCTTATCTTAACACACAATTCTTAGAGTATTCTTTTACCTGAGCGTCATAAATGCAGACTTAGATTGCTCATATCCATCCTGAATGTGACTGACTGCAACTCTTATGTTCTATCACTTGAACTACACTGCTCCTTTTGTCCATCCCTCTGTTGGTTCCCCTTCTTTGGTGATGTTAAATTAGCCCCTACACTTCATAATTCTTTCACAGCAATCCTTGCTCTGCTTGTCAGCTCTTACCTGGTATTAAATTATCAGCTTCTCACTTCTGTTGGCTCTCGATGGCAGCTCTTGTCATCTACTTTGTATTAAATGTTACAAGTGTCCTTAAACAAGCATCTTAAGTGCTTTCTTCTGTGTTGCTCTTTGTTACTGGAGGTCTGCCAGATTTCATCATTGTCCTTCAAATGAATGGACTTACCTCAAATTTCTATTATGTTTGATGCCTTAACAAAGAATTACCCTATTGTTTCTCAGCTTTCAAATCACCTGAGGACAACCTGTTTGTGCTTAGCACCAGCCTATTCCCATCCCATGTTGTCATTCCAAATGCAAGTCATAGGAACCAGAGGATCTTTTGTCCTCCATTACAGTAGCAATAAAATTCTGAAAGTTTGATTAATTTTCAAAAAAGGTGAAAAGCCTTAATTTTGTGTAATATTTTTTCTGTAACTGTGCCAAGGTATCTGTAATTAATCACCTCTAACTTTGTTGTTGAACTTGGTAAAAATCAGTGTAAATACGAGTATGTAGTGATTCTACCAGTCCACAAAAAAGGAATTACACACTTATGAAGAATGTCAAGAATTGGGGAAATAACTTCTGCTTTTTTGAGTATTCTAGAAAACACTGCCTTTTTTGTATTATTGAAGACAACCTGAAACACAGTGTTCATGGATTCCTTCAGAACAGTCTGAGCTGTGGACTCCCAAAATGTTTTGTTGTGGTTGGATTAAATGCTTCATTATTGCTAATTCCAGGGATGTGAGTGATTTGTAAAACCAGAGAAAGCAACAAAAGTGATCTGAAGTTGACAAATGACTCTCTAATGAAGAATTTTAAGAGCTAAAAACGTAGTTTGGCAAAGACCTAACTAAGCTGGGAAGTGTTATTTGTATATAAATATCCAGATATTTAACCACAAAAGCTGCAGTGGAATTTAATGTAGTAAATGAGGGCTTTTTTAATAGATTTACCAAGATGTAATTAAGGGAAGATCAGGAAAGTATCATGCTTGTGTGATGAATTAGGCCTGTGACATAGGACACAGGACCCCAGATCTCATCTCCTACAGGTGGTAGTCCAGTCTGGGTACTGCCATCTTGTATGATTTTTGCTGAGGAGGCTGGGAGGCTGCAATTTTAAATCCAGGAGGGTTGGGTGTTCGCTGACCCTTGTTACTGTTTTCTTTTCTCTGTAGGTGTGAATCTTTGCATCTGTAATTCAGATGGTTTAGCTTAATTAGTAGCTGATTTCTGATCTGCAACCTGCGTTCATTTGCTAAGGCTGCATAATCCTCATTCTCACTCTTCCTTCACAATCTAAGAGGCTTCAGTTCACCTGCAGGCTTAGTGCAGCATCTCTGGACCTTGAATACTGGTCAGCAGTACTGAACAAAATACTCTGTGTGTGAAGGAATGAGAGTGACTGGTACAGGAGTGCTTTTCTTACAGTTGAGATGCTGAGGAAATACCTCAGCTGGTACATGAGGATTTTTTTCCATGACAATACAAACGACTTAACAGTAACCTTATGATGCTATTTGGGAACAAAAAAATATTAGGTCCTTCACACAAGAAATTATGTTGGTCTTTTACTGTCTGCATGGTCTTTTACTGTTTACTGCTACATTTCATCTATATTGTTGATACTCCGGCCCTTGGGGTGTCTTGATATTTTTCTGTGATATTCCAGTCTTCCTCAGAACTGATGCTATTAACTTTGTCTCTCCAGAAAATTTAGTCTAAGAAGATACTAATTTCTGGTGTAAAAATTGGAAATAAAAGCATTGAACAAATTAGAAGACTGATTATTGAGGAACTGTGTCCTAATGCCACTCTGTCCCTGTGTTTGTCCTAATCCTGTTTATCCCGGAGTTCATAATATAATCCCAATCTTTTCAAATATTACCAAAAATTTCACCGTAAGAGATGGTCTATTGGATTGAAGCCCAGGAAGATTAGGTATATTTTTAATCAAAGATCAATTTAATGCTCTTTTATTGGTAAAGCAAGTATGCAAACTTACTGGACTCACATTAGTCTTGAAGCAGTGTTACAGTGTAAGCAATTATGCTTAAAAGCAGCAGTCTTCAATAATTTGTTCTTTAATACAGGGAATATATTTCTGAAAATAAATTATTTCATATTGCATATTTAATTGGGAGTATTTAGTCACAAAATATTAACTCAAACTCAGTTTCCTTTTTTGCCCTCTAGTGAAATTACATTGTCTGTATTTAGATATTTTTTTCGTCTACTTTCTGTCCAGATCCTAGGATTTTTACTTTTCCTATTTGTAAAGGACAGTATGGTAGTTCAAACTTACTTTTCTAGTGATGATTTTCCCTTCTACTTACAGAATTATCAAGCCAGTGTTGATGATTTCAACAAGGTACTTCTGATAGATCCAAATGTTCTTGAAGCACAAAAGGAACTAGAGGAGGTAACCCAACTGCTTCACCTTGACAGCAGTGCTGGAGCTGGCAGTCCACAAAAGCAAAGGAAGAAAGTAACCATACAAGAGGTAAGAACACCTGTTCATTTCTTAAAAGCAAACAGTACAGAAACCACACATTCAAAGAGATAATATTAAAACTTTAGTTTTGCCCATCTTAGCTCTAGATTTTTTGGGGGGCGGGGTTGTATTTTTTGTGTTATTTTGAGGTCATCTTGGAGGATGTTTACATATGATGTTTTCAGTGTTGATTACATTCTATAATAAAGCTTGGACTGCTCTGAAGTATATGGAAAAATGGAAGAAGTCCTTTTAGATGGCACTAAACTTGAGGATATGCTCCTTGTAAACAAAAACTGCATTGGAATGAAGTGTTTTACAGAATGCAGCTGTCATGTAGCAGTTTTGCTCGTAAAGTCTGTGCTTCTCAGGCAGCCTCTGGGGCTGTGCTGGCCAAGGTCCATGGTCCATAGGTGTGCTAGCTGCTCCTGTGCTGGTCCTACAGTTATGGGTCTGAAAAATGAAATCCTACCTTGAAGAGCAAGAGTAAAACATCTGTAGGATCTTATCAAAGAAACACACGATGTAATGTTATGTAGAGGATCAAAATGTCAGCCTCGCACAGTTCGGGGTATAATTAGCTGATGAAAGGATTTTCTCAGTCATCTGATGTTTTTGGATTGTAGCTTTGCTGGTCCTTTAAGAATTTATTTTCCCCCCTTTAATTTAAAAATGTATAGTTAAAATACATAGTGACCAGTCTGTACAGTGATAGTGTAATTTGATAATGTAATTTCAGAATAGTGGTATAATGGAAATGCAGTTATTTATACAGAAAAAACTTGTTTTCTTGAAATGCTTCACATTGTCACGAGTTCATGGAATTTTATATAATTGGCATAATCTGGGTATAGTGTTAGTTAAGCTCTGAGTTGTGACAAACAAAGGGACCTGGAAAGTGTTTAGAGGAGGTTTGGTAAGTGACTGCATTGCTCAAAGAACCAGCCGACTACATTACTGGCACTGGTAATTTCTCCAGGGGTGGGGCAGGAAGCATTTATGTTTGTGGTCATAATTACAGCTCCCCCTATAGAGAGCCTATGCTGTCTTACCTGCTGTGGTACACAGTAGTTCCATGAAAAGAGACTGCAGAGAAAAGTAAGGAAAATTAGAAAATTGATCTATCATCATTGTGCCATTTTAATCAAGCTATAATTATATAAAAGACAGTCAGGATTTCTCCCTTTATTTTAAGGATCGTTGAAAAATAGAAGAAGATGTCTGTAAGTCCAATGCAGTATTTTCAAAAAATGACTAATCCCCTGTACTACACAATACAGTGTCTTCAGACTTCTCAAAATACTTGGCATCCTTTGAGAGACCCTGTTCAATAAGTTTTAGTGAGGTTATACTAATTGCACAACTCTTGATGGCTTGAAATAGATTTTAGCAAATGTGGTTGAACCCACAGTTAATATTCTAGCAACTGATTTATGAAACTTGATACAGGCTGCAAATTCAGAAGTGAAGTGGATATTCAGGCAGTTAACCATGCTGAGCTTTCTCCTTCCACAGTGAGACTTCAAACAGCAACCTGATAGAGCTGCCATGTACCTGTACTGTCCAGGAGGCACAGCAGAGAAGTGAAACATGGGTGTCTGGTGCCTTGACTCCAATTCTCCTGGAGTCTCCACATTTAGTATATGTATACATTCTTCCTTAGCTTTCTCCCAGTGGTCTTCAGGCGTCTTTCTGCAGTGGAGTGGCAAGTGGTGAAAAGACGTGTAAAACACACACTTTTGACTATGAAACTTTAAAGATGAATTAGAGAGGTGCTGTTCTGGGGGTCAATAGGACACAGAAGAACAATGGTGCCTTTCTTTTATGAAGAAAAGAATGCCAGCTTTAACCTAGTGACGTGATGGATATATGCTGCTCATGAAGATTCAGGTTATCTATGTGACCACATTAAAATGATTTGTTGCCATTTTCTTTGTGAAGGTGACTGGACATGATGAACAGGAAGAGAGACAGTTTGCTACATCAGATGATGTTGTGACTGATCACGTTACTTCCAAAGAAGCAGTTCAAAAGAATGTGCCACTGAAGTCCTCTGAGAAACTGCGCATTTGTGAACCATCTAATGCCTATGACTTTGGTCAGATTATAAATGCAGTGAATGCCAATAAGGATTATGCTGCTTGTGCAGATCTTTTAACAATTACTGATCCGAAAAAATTGCCAGTGCTGCTGAGTAACAAACTTGAAGGAGAAATCCTTCTGATATTTATCCAGTCATTGGAACATTATGTAGCTGGAAAAGATCCTGGCCTTGTATATCAGCACCTTTTCTACTTGAGCAAAGCAGAAAGATTTAAGGTGAGAACCTAGATTGAATGTGTACTTAAATTGCACAGAAACTTAAAGGAAATTTTCAGAGCTTAAAAGGAAATTATACACTGTTTTTGTATCTCTGTCAGATACTATGATTTTCAGTCATCCTCTGCTATTTATAATTACAAAATATATAAAACAATTATAAAATAATTGTTGTGGTTTTTTTTTTCTTCAGGTGGTGTTGGCCCTTCTTAGCAAAAATGAAAAAGAAGAAGTGCAGCAACTGTTTGACTTACTTTCAGAAAACCAGAGTGATCAGTACTCATTGGAAGATCTTGAGAGCCTTAAAAAGGTTTATGAACTTTAAGAAGTTAAAGTTTATTGTCTGCATGTGGATAGTTCATGTGTAAAAGATGGATCTATGATCTGCAGACTTGAATGAGTTCAAGTGGGTCTTTACCTGGAGTGCTGAAATTTTATTTTGTTTTGACAGCGTATGCACATTTAAAACTTGCTGCTCTTCTTTTCTTGTAGTTGTATACATCTCTAGAACTTAATGCATGCCTGTGTTCAGTAACAGAGTTCATTTTATTTGGCATACTGATTTTATTTAGACTGTATTAATTATATATAGAAAAATATGTTTTACATTATATATATATAATGTGAATTATCTTGATGGTGCAATAGATACATACACTTTTAGTCATCACTTGTTATATCATTTGGTGAGTTCTAAGTTCTTGAGATAAAGAAGTGAGATAAATGGGTCAGTTAGCAGTAGTTTTGCTAAAATAAGTTTACAAAAAGTATTAACACTTTTCAGATAAACTACTACAGGCCACCTCTTTCTTTGGTATCCCTGGTCTATACAAAACAGATTTAAATATTTTGGCACAATACAACTTAGTAGCAAAGGTGAATGAATAATATATTAGCTTGTCATGGAACTCTTTGAAACAAAATTGTTAAACATTGGGCATGTTTTAACAAATGAATAATTTTTAGTGCACAGAGAATTACTTTTTTTTCTGTGTGTGCTGAAGGACTGCTGGTTTGCCTGGCTTTTTTTTTTTTTTTGCAGTGACAGTGGTAAACAGAAGAAAACATGGCTGCACTTCACAATAGAAATATTTATCTCTGAGTTTTGTAATTGGATTATTTAAAACATCAGCTGTTTCTGTTTACAGGCATATTTATAAACTAAAATAATTTTGTGGATCAGTATGATTTTTTTTTTATTTCAGGCAGTACTTATGTTTTATATTTGATTCTGACAATGCTTCAAAGATGAAGCTTTTAAATTTTTCAAATACCCAATGCCTTCTTTGTGTTATAAATAACGTGTGTTATAAATGTATATCAGACTCACAAGCACTGCAGAAATAAGATTAAGAATGTTGTTCTAATGAAATTTTTTCTCAGGTGTATATTGATAAAGTTCTTTTCTTGAAAAGGACAATTATCGATTCTCTTTTCTGGTTCAATACTCTTTAGGCTTACAGTTTTGTCGTGGATTGTGAGTTTTGTCTTGGAGTGCGAAGAACAAAGCTTTTAGTTTCTGAAGCACCATCAGAACAACCAATGGTTTTTGGTTTTAAATGTCCTCTTTTTATGAGATTCTTGTAGTCAAGACAAATCTGTTGCTCTGCTCGTCTTATCCAGTTAAGCAACAACGTGCCAGTTTCATTCTTGAGTCCTGGTGTCAAAGTGTTCACAATCATGCATTTCAGTGTTACTGATTTCAGTCTTTCAGTTTTGTTCCACTGTAGTTTAGTATGTTCAGAGAAGATTCATTGTATGTGTCCAACTGTAGTTCAGAAAAGCGAGCATAAAAATTAGGTGCGTAGTTTTAAAATAGTCTTGATTGCTTGGTAACTGTAGCTGAGTAAGAGCCCAATGTCAAAAGCTCTTGATGAAGTCAAGTCTTTCTCTGTGCCACTCAACCCCCCCAAGTACTAAATGCTCCTTGGAGACAAACTTCAGCAGTCACAGCTGTTTCTTAGAAGGTATCTCATTTGTAAAGGGTTTTTTGACACTGAGGACAAAAATAAAAATGTCTGCAGCAGAAAATCATAATATAATTTAGTAAATTTAGGAGACAACCTGACATTATTTAAGAGATAACAGCTTAAAAAAAGATTTTGAAATGGAAGGTTCTTGACAAATCATTTGTCCGTGAAGAAAGAGACAAATAGGTGCTCACAGACAGACATACAGGATCATAGTTAATTTTAGGACAGTTTTAATCAATCCCTAGTGATTAAACTAGAAACCTAAAAGTTGTCCATAGAAAAGCAGTCCAGTAGTCCAGAAAGATACCTTTTCTTTTAATACCTTTCACCTTGAGTGTCAGCTGAAACAGAGTGAATTCAGTTTGAGGTAAAAATGACTGAGATTGCAGATCAAGAACCTCAAACTACTCCTTGCTAAGAAGTTCTAAACTGAGAGCTGCAGCAATGATTGCAAGTGAACTCATTACCCAGCTGGTGGCAGGGAGACTCATAGGAGGGCAGGATTTGCTGGAAAGTTTATACTGAGCCCTGAGGAAATACCTGGCAATAAACAGGTTTCCCCTTTCTGTGTGTCTGATCTTGTCAGGTTAAGGCAGACCAGAAGGTTTGGCTCATTGAATATATAGACAACCCCCCAAACTACCCCAAATGCTGTTCAGTAGGTAGCCCCTCTAGTCTGGCTTGACACTGGTCTCATTATTTTCAGTATGTTCCCAGCCCTGGTCCCATACCAGGAGCTGCTTTTTAAAGTTTATTTAACTCATTCCAGTCTGTGATCCCAAAAGGGGAAGACACTTCCTTGATGACTTGCATTCCTGAAACTGCTGCCAGGCTGGGCTTGCGATCTCAGCAGATCCTTGGCATCAGCCCCACTCTGGGACATGTCCCAATATCCTCCAGCACCTTGTTGGGTGCCTCACTCCCCACTGAATTGCTGAGGCAGAAGCCATTGGGCACTAATTGATGCAGGAATTGTGAACACCCTGCACTATGGATAGCAGATCCCTGGAGTTTCGGGCACTAATCCTTTACTACATCTCTTCTTTAAACATCTTTTCTGTCTGATGTTCCCTCATACCTGTCTCAACTAGGAACTTTTGGCCTCAGCTTCCTAAGTTAAAGAATTATATGTTGAAGTACAAGGGAACAAAGAAGGAACTGAACCACTGAATGTTGTAATGGCTGAAAAATGAAGTCGAATAGTCAGATATATATTTCTTAAAAAAAAAAAAAAAAAAAGGCAACTCTCAAAGGTAAGAAAAATGGTCCATGAAACTGAACAATAAAAATGAAAGAAGTGTGACATGAGCTGTTCATCTGTAAGGACAGCAGTGGATTTGCAGTGCCTACAGTCATTTTGGTGATGGTCCTCATTCAGATTTCATTGAGATTGACTGCATTTTCAGACAGCATTTAGGCGGGCCTGAGGAACAGGCAGAACAACTTTTAAAACCACAAAACTTAGACAAAAATAGAATAAAACATGTTAGGGACTGTACTGCTGATTTGACCTAACACCTCAAGCCAAGGCCTCCAGGCTTCAAAACCTGCCCTTTCTGTGGGGCAGCATTAGATCACTGAAAGTAATTTTGTGGGCATGGGGCGCAGAAGGGAATATCTTTAGGTGTGGATTTCCTAAAACCACTTGTTTGGCAGGTAAGGGCTGCCTTAATATGTCCCTCTTGCCTTAGTCTGGGGAACAGCCTCAGAGCCAGAGGGAGAAATCTCTGCAGCCCTAAGTAGTTGCAGCTGAACAGCAGATGCAGAGTCACCTGTCAAAGACAATGTCCTTGGCCAGGTGACACGGAGTGGCCTCTGCACAGAGGTGGCAGCAGCACCCCTGGTGTGGAACTGGGGATAAGCAGCTGCTGACCAAAAGAGTTCCCTGCTCACCATGGCACTGAGTGGGACATTGGTGTGAACACAGGACTCAGAAACAATAGAGTGGAAAAGAGGGGAAAAAAACCCCACCCTGTTTTACTGGTATTGGTTTTTTACATTCTTTAAAGATTAAAGCCTTTTGTCTTTAGAAGAGAGCAAGAGAACATCAAATAGTTGACCTGGCTTTGTGGCAGAGAGACCCAAATCGTAGCACAGTCTTACCTTCTCAAGCTTGTCAGCATAACCCCCTCAGCATTAACATCCACCTTTGTGAAAACAAACAACAAACCAACCAAACCCAACAGCCATACAAAACCAGGAGGAGACCACTGGTTATGCAGGTGACAGGGACAGGCAAATGAAGTGTGGTCCCCAGCATGGCCACACACACAGAGCACATGCCCTGTACAGCTGAGCTAACTAGTGACCCCCCTGCTCATGGATAGCTATCCTGCCTTGGACCTCCCCACTGGAATGTAACACGTCAGTGGAGACGCAGCCTCCAGCTGTGGCAGTGCAGGGCACCCGTGTCAGTGCCACTTCCTTGCAGCCCCGTGCCATTTCTCAGTTGGTGCTTGCTAAATGCCACCCTTGTAAATAAATTCAGCAACAGGAGAGTGGATTTTCTTGTAAGCGAGAGGGATTATAAAGGGATAAAGTGCCCATCGCACAGAAGGGTGTGCTCAGGAATGTCTTGAGCAGGCAGCCAGCGAGGAAAGGGCAGCTCGAGCACCCTAAATGCCATCAGCACTGGTCTGGTGGCTAAACAAAACGGCTCAAATTTAGGCCATTTGGAATTTTAATGTCCTTACTGTGGAGATGGTAAGTCATAGTAGTCCTTTTGTCAAAGCTGGCTCACCAGGACCTTGTGCAAGGAGAGATGTGTTGTGTCAGCTTTGCCCACCAAAACGCTTCCTGCTGGTACCTGATGTGCAGACAGGTGCCAAGGTTGTCACATGCCAATGCTACTCAGTTACCTGGCCTGGCACATGAACAAGGTGCAACAGCAGGCTCATGTTTGTTGTTGAGCTTCCACCTGTCGTGAGGAGCCTGGATTTTCTGCCAGATGGATACCTGTTCCCTCTGCTGCCTGATCCAAGGCCAAAACATTTCAAGGGAATGATAAGCAGTTTGATCACATTTTAGGCATCATCCCAGAGGCCGGCAAGGGGATGCTCTTACCCAGCTGTGCTTGCAGGCACTTCACCTCCTTCACCTGCCCCACAGAGCGCATGTTAAATGAACAGCCTGGAGCTGGAGACAGGGACAGGAATGCTACAGCAGGAGCTTTGCACACAGGTCTGTTTGTGGCTGTCCACTCACTCTTGGACACTTCACTGTGCAGGACACAGCTAAGGAGCAGCAGGATAGATTTGCTCAGTGGTACAGTCCCACTCCCTTTGGGCTTCCCATGTGCTGCTGCAGTGCCAGCCCTGCACTTGTCCCCATACTGACGCAGTGCCCAACCCTGCCCAGTGCCGGGCCAGCACAGCTCAGCCCTGGGTGGCCACTCTACACTTGCAGCTTTCTGTGCTCCATGAGAGCTGGGGGGAACAACCTCAGGTTCTTTCTGCAGAAGTGAAGCTGAACAAAGTCATGTGGCAACCCCAGCGCAGAGCCTTTGCTTGCCTTGAACACTGCATTTCCCTGCTCCAGGTGGGGATTGCCATGATGAGGGACAGTGCAGAGTTGAGACCCACAGCACATCCCTGTCCACAGCGACCTTCAGCAGCAGCAGGGCCTCTATCACCCAGGAGGACAAGAAACCAAACTTCAGGATTAGAAAGTGACATGAAGGGAATAAACAAGCCAGATTTAGCATAGAGGGGCCCACAGCAGGCAAGGCCTGCAGCCCTGGAGACAGAGGGTAAGGAGCAGCACAGACATCCGAGGAGGGAGCACAGCTGGGCACGGTCACCAACAAGCATCTGTCCCTGTGCTTGTGGCTGCACTCCAAGGCCTCTGGGCAGCAGCCTCTCACCAAGGACAGAGAAGCTACCACAAAATCCTAAACTCCATCTGAAAAGCTGTTGCAATCTTTTTACAAAGAAACAAATAATAATATAATAATATATAATAATATGAACATAAAATCTGTCTCCTCAAAAAAAAAGACTTTTTTTTTTTTGCACAGTGAGTTCCCTGACAGCTGAGTTG